GAGTACGTGCCTCGACAAGATCGGAACCATCGTCGTCAACAACTTGGCCTATCGAGATCATTCAAGCCTCAAGCTCCGCGGCGTACCAAAAGATGTCAGATCACATGATATCGAACGAGTACGCAACAAGATAATTAGGAGATTGATTTTTTAAATTAATCTACTAATTTCGTAGATACATCCGGCATGTATCTACAAAGGTACGCAATATTTTATATGCAATTTGTCATGCCTATTTCTAGATTGTACAACATTGTCAGATCAATAATTTTTTATGTTTACCTAGAGCATGTTTTTTATACAATATCTGTTGTGCGAGTGTTCCTGATGTTAAACCGACTACGGTTTAATGCTGGGGGCTCGCTCTATTTTCTTCTGTATAAATCATGCTTGTTTACGGTTTACATAATGCTTGATATTTAATCTGCTCGTTATATCCTGATAATACTAGAAGATCCATGCATTTTTTTTGAGTACATACTCGATATTATCTGCTATATGTCTTGCCTTCTAGAAAATATTTTTCAGGAACAATTGAGCACTCGAGTAGGTTGTGGTCGAGTACACCCCATTATCGAGAACGATCTCGACAAATACAGAGTCGTCACGCCCAACCTGCCAACAAAGACCGACGACCTATCTCATAGCACCGGCCATGGCTGGACTATTCGAGAAAAGGTTGTTAACGGATAATTCCTCACGAACGTCATCGGCTTGATCACCCGACATGATTGCGAACGGACATCCAGATATGCTATAAGTTGGGTATGTGAGTCATGCTGGCCACATGAGATGCACATGTAATAAACCAACTCTAGCACCTCCATTGGTGTTTGAGAGATAATTCTACTCGCTCGCTGGTTCTCGAACCAGTAAACCGTAGCAATCTCTCGCACCACAGCTTCCATTGGCGTTCGAGAGATAATTCTACTCGCTCGCTGGTTCTCGAACCTGTAAACCGTAGCAATCTCTCGCACCGCAGCTTCCATTGGTGTTCAAGAGATAATTCTACCCGCTCGCTGGTTCTCGAACCAGTAAACCGTAGCAATCTCTCGCACCGTAGCTTCCATTAGTGTTTGAAAGATAAGTCTACTCGCTCGCTGGTTCTCGAACCAGTAAAAGGTAGCAATCTCTCGCACCGCAGCTTCCGTTGGTGTTCGAGAGATAAGTCTACTCGCTCGCTGGTTCTCGAACCAGTAAATCATAGCAATCTCTCGCACCGCAGCTTCCTTTGGCGTTCGAGAGATAATTCTACCCGCGGGTTCTCAAACCAGTAAATCGTAGCAATCTTTCGCGCCTTAACTTCAAGTGGTCGAGTTACGACTACTACCTGGTCCTCGACCAGTGGTCTAGCGATTCTCCCACTACCTCTACTTTAAGTGGTCGAGTTACGACTACTACCTGGTCCTCGACCAGAGGTGTAGCGATTCTCCCATTACCTCTCTCCTGACAAAGTTGATATCAGGTACACAATATCGCCAAGTGTTTTATCCAGAGATCCCTTACCACGACGGCACCTAAAGTTGAAACCTATCCTCATGTCCCTTTATGCCGTCCTGACAAGGCCTCTGAGGAACCTAAGGGAACTTCGGCTGGGGACACCCAGAGCGGATAAGGCCTTGTCGGATCATGTAGAGACAAACGACCATGTAAGATCTGGTCATGTAAGAGTTCTCGCCGTGCGTATTAACCAAGCCGTGTAATCGGAAATTGAGTTTTCCAACTTCACGGCTGGGGGCTATGGTCAGTGCTTTTTCAACCAAGGGAGGTCAAGGGTCCAAGAGCCTTATCCTCCGAGAACGATTCTCCGACGACAAGGCTGGGGGCTAGGAAGAGTGTATGACTCAACAAACTGACTGATCGAAGTCGGAAAAAGAGAAAACGCTCATATACAAAACATTGGTTTGTAAATTTAATTTATTTCCAGTTTTCCATACATATTGTAACATGTCACCCTTTGAGCGTTCGCTCGGAGGCTATTTCTATCAAATATTCTTTTCTAAGTATTGATTTCAGGAAAATTCTATTCGGTATTATCGAAGACTCCATGTCTCTATGGTTCTATACCAAGATCGACTAAGGCGAGTACGACAAATGTTGACAAGGCTCTGTCGCAGATTCTGCGCTTTCTCGATCACTTGAGAACGGTTGGTGGATCTCGACAAGGAATACGGAATGAAGAGATGGTGTACCCGCCGAGATAAAATTTCTTGACTTCAATCCAAATTCTCGATTACAGCAAGACAGGAGACTTAGTCGTATGCTCTGTACTTTCTTGGTTGACATCAGGAGATTGACTCAGACAAACCCTATAGGTGCCCGCACGAGGCTGATAAGGGAAGTCTAACGTTATCTCTAAACTCACCGAGAACGGTCGCGTGAGCTCGATAACAGTTACTCCAAGGTCTGCGGTTGAGAATATGAATTCGTTCATTTGCATTGAAGTCGGGGGGGCTACTGTCAGGGTTATGGATACCACATACTTAATAGTAGTTGACTAAATCTCGGCAGGACCCACCACATACCATGTATTATACGGAAACAACCTTCGGATACAGGAGGAATTCCGCATAAGGAAGGATGAATAGAGTTCTACATGGAAACGACAAGGACTACTCAGATTGTATCCATATTGGTTTTCCTAGTTCTACTTGGACAAGGGGACACCTATGGGTATAAATTCAAGACCCCCTAGGAGGAGAGGGGACACGGAACAATAGATCAAGACAGAAGATCAACATACAAGCCAACATACGCTAAGACAAGACGCCAGATATTGACTTCAGAGATAGGCATGGCTAGTCCCCTATGGTGCCTATGGCTACCATCAGGAGAGACATAGCGCTGTCTCTGATCTCGCCGGATGCGGATTCGAGGAGGAAGGCTACCCTGTTGTCGACTACGAGTCAATACTACAGATCGCCAAATCGACAACAGTTAGATAGGCTACCCCAAATACTGTACTGGTGTGATTATGGTGAATAAGAGCAATACCGGCTTCGGCCAACAGGAGTAGGGTTATTACATGATAATTCAGGGGCCCGAACCTGTATAAAAATCCTCGTCCCCATCTCTTTTACTACAATGTCGCATATATCCTAGCACCAACGATACCCATACTATGCAAATACCAGAATCGCGACATCAAACGTCGACACAAACCACTTAATCATGCGTTGTTACAAATGGATGGGTCGAAATTCAGTTTCACTCAACTAGCTAGGCTTCATGTGAAGGGACAAGTTCGTTTCAGTTTTTTCTTGTTCACAATTCCAAACAAATGCTTGTTTACCATCAATGGGCCAAGCACTGTCCCCTAATTGAGGCTGTGTTCTTAGTGATGGTTGGGAACCCTCACCTTCGATACAGAAAACAGAGCAATGGATTAATACGTGATTAATTAACTATTAGCTTAAAAATCTTTAAAATGAATTAATATGATTTTTTTAAAGTAACTTTTCTATAGAAAATTTTTACAACACACGCACCGTTTAGCAGTTTGAAAAGCGTGCGCGCGGTAAATGAGATAGTGAGGTTGGGAACTTAGACTTAAGGCCTTGTTTAGTTTCAAATTTTTTCTTCAAACTTCCAACTTTTCCATCACATCAAAATTTTCCCGCACACATAAACTTCCAACTTTTCCATCACATCGTTCCAATTTCAACCAAACTTTCAATTTTGACATGAACTAAACACACGCTAAGAACACACTCTAATTTGCTACACCAGTCACCACTATTCAACCCAAATCCCAACTAATGGGATTTTTTTTCCTTTTTGAGTGCCTCTTCTTTCTGTAATTTTGATCACTGTCACTTTGTCAGGTCTACAACGGGCTGTGGCTTAGGCCGAGTTTAGTTCCAAACTTTTTATTCAAACTTTCAACTTTTTCATCACATCAAAACTTTCCTACACACAAACTTCCAACTTTTTTATCACATCAAAACTTTCCTACACACACAAACTTCCAACTTTTCCATCACATCGTTCTAATTTCAACCAAACTTTCAATTTTAGCGTGAACTAAACACACCCTTAGTCAAAGTTGTTGTCGAGATGGGCCAGATTAAACTTCAGCGCTTTTCCATGCTTACGTTATACTCCTTTCATTTCAAATTTCTTATCATTCGAAGTTCGTTCGAGTCAGACATCTGAAATCTTTGACCATCGATTTCTATAAATTCATATAGCTTATCATCATAAGATTTATATTTTTAATTTATCATGCAAAATACTTTCATAATATGTAATTCACATGTTATACTATATGGATTTGTATATATCAATGATCAAAGATAAGAAATATTTGGCTTAAAACAAAAGTAACTTTAAGTAGAGGGAACATTCGAATAGGTGTACTTGACACCCGATCCAATTTCGAGTCAATAAGCATAATCCAATTATAGTTCTTACTCAAAGCCCAAACACCTAAACTTTACGAACGTCAACTCTAATCCCCAATCTTTATTGAATTTATTGCTGGTCTTAAATACAATTAAGATAAGAAAAATAATTATCCGAAACGAAGACATGCCTATAGAGAAAAATAACTCGGATTGTAAATATCATAATGTCAAATATAATGTAACATCATAGTCGACGATTGATTGGAAGTATGGAAAGATGGGATGCATTGGTCAATATTGAAACTGCAAAGCCATTTAATTTGGACGCGACTAGACCGAGACCGGTCTCGCGATAGTCCTATCACGCGACATGCGCCCCTGCCAGAAAAAGCAACCACGTGAACGCGCGCCCCTGCCAAAAAAGGAAAGCCCGCGCGTGCACCACGGTTGCACGGCTCTCGCTTCGCGTGGTATAGCTGGCGTGGGCCCAGCTAGGACAGAGCGCTGCGCGCCTCCTTCCCCCCTCCAACCCATCAAGTCCGGACAACTGGCAGCGTCAATCCCCACGCAGCCGCCATGGCGGAAAAAAATCAGAAAAAAAGCACGAACAAGGGGAGGAGGACGAAACCATCAACTCGGAGGAGGAGAAGAAAGTAAAGTAGATCCAAAAAAATATATCACAGGTACACATGAAGTTCATCCTCTGTTTTTTTGAGATCCATCCAAAAAAATCATAGAAACTAACCTAGAATCTTTGAGATCTTTTCTGTCTTCTCTGATAAACATATTCTATGAAACTGTGCTGCAATTTTGTAAGAAATGAGTTGTAATGTTGTTTCCTGTCTTCCATCTTGATTAATGTCCTCCCTCATACCTCCAAATTTCCTTTGTATGTGCTGCTAGGAAAAAAAGTTGGAGCAAAAGGCATGAGTAGTGATGTTTCAAAAATCTCAGAGCAATTTTAACAGAAACTTACTTCTAACACTTCAGTAAATTACTTCCTAGGAACTTGCAAGTTACTTTCACATAAAGTTGAATTCACATTCCATAGTAGGCTCTCAGAGCAATTTTAACAGAAACTTACTTCTAACTAGGGATGAAAACGGTCGGAAACGATCGGAAAACAGTCTCAACCATTTCCGTAACCATATTTTTCTCGGAAATGAAATCGGAAACGGTAAATTTGGAAACGAAAACGATATCGGAAATATCGGAAAACCTGAAACGGAACAATACGGACGGAAACATGTCGGTACAGATCGGAAACAGGTAACAAATACGGATACATTAAACTATAAAAACATATATTTAACTTTACATAAGTATGTTATATGTATACATAAATTCAAGCTTATACTATATAAATTATAAATTAACTTCATTTTAGCCATGTACAAAAGTTAGAGATTTGATTGAAGAGTCAGTCAATATGTAAGCTGCGGGTCAAGTATAGACATGCTCTATAAATATCGACATATTTAGAATATGGTAATTACCATATTATAAGAAACGGTAATTTCCACAAGAATACGGTAAATACGGAAACGATCGGTATAACAGCAAAACCATTTCCGTTTTCATTTCCATATTTTTTACCATTTCCATTTTTGTTTCGGTCGATTATCATTTCCATATGGCTCGGCCGGTAGAAAGTCGAAAACGAACGCCGGTCGGCCGGTAATTACCGTTACCGTTTTCACCCCTACTTCTAACACTTCACTAAGAGTTACACCTTCTTAATTCATTTTGTACCTTGTATGTGCACCCAACATGATGCGTTCCCCCTAGTTGCCTCCTCGCTTTCTCTTCTAGTACTGCATCAAAACAAAATTGTGAAAAAAAACATAACTATAGCCACTGATGTCAAATTGAGAAAAAATTGCTTCCTATAGGCATGTAACTGTAAATGTCTAAAAAGTTACTGTCCTATTTCATGGTATTTACTTCCAAAACTGCACTGACTTACTTCCAAAAATTGACTTACTTCCAAAAATTGCACTGACTTACTTTCCAAAATGCACTGACTTAATTCCAAAATTACACTGACTTACTCCCAAACTACACTGACTTACTCCCAAACTACACTGACTTACTTCCAAAAAAAAGGTATTGTACTGTAAGTTACTTCTAGAACATGCTAAGTTATTTTTGACAACAGATGAAGTTACTTCTAGAACATGTTAAGTTACTTCTAGGAAAATACAGATAAAAGTCATATGATTCAATCCTTTAGCAAAAAAAAAGTCTAGTGCATTAAAAAAAGGCAAAAACACTTCCACTTGGATTTTACAAGTTTTCTAACATGTAGTGCAATTGTATGGGGACATAGTCATACTCCTTCTGAAGCAAACCAAAACTTCATTCAATACTGGATTGCAACATCATAAATCTGGATTGATTTCGAAAAACTGGTTGCATTTCATACTTCTACCATAAAAAGGATTATGGGTACATAGAACAAGGATAGACATGCAATCTCACATAATGTGACAGGAATTAGTTAACCAAATTTTATTCAATACTGGATCATTCTGATTTACTAACCATCCGGTTATAACTATAGGTAGTACACATGTCCAAGTCCATATTCAACATCAAAAATACCGTTTCAAAAAAAGTAAGTGTTAAGTTACTTTTTATGGAATATTAAGTTACTTCTAAAACTAGTTAAGTTACTTCTAGAAAAATACAGATAAAAGTCTAGTGCAGCAGCATAAAAAAAGTGTAGTGCAGTAAATAAAAAAAGCAAAAACACAGGTTCAAGGGTAGAAAGATAGACGGTTGTTTCAATACCTTTGTTCTACTCCTTTTTGGAGGAGGTTGTGTTGCATCATCTCCACCGTGATCTCTCTTCTTCCCACGTTGTGATACACCCCTTTTTTCTGACTTGACTCTGATTCGTTACGTGCCTTTCGTTGCATGGGATTTCTTCCTAGCCATCACTGGAAAATCATTTTAAATATTAGTTTCAACAAAAACTAACCAATTACAACTTAACAACTAGTAGGAAGTAATATTTATGTGTTTAGAAGTAAGTCAGTACATTTTAGAAGTAACTTAACTAGTAGGAAGAAAAAAATGCAAACTTAATTTCATTGTTCTAAAAATATTACTCATGCCATAGGAAAAAGTAAGTTTTAACTAGACTAGATGCAATTCAATAAATCAAATGTGTTGCTTAAGGAACATTTGATTTATTGAATTACATGCTGCATATACATGCATGCACATACATGCTCCCCCCCTATCTGCAGCCTCTGTTCTCTGAATGTACGTCGATCTCTGCAGATCGATGTTGATCTATTCAATCCATGTTGGTTGTTACGACTTGAAACCTATGTAGCTACCCATATTTACACTGTGTATGAAAGCATGGAAACCTAGAGCTATCAAAGGGCACACAAAACCCCTGGTAAAAAAATGGCAGCACAAGTACACAAAAAACCTCTGTTCTCTGAATGTACACAAATAACATAACTGAATATTAGCATCTACAATTAGCAACATGGTAACTGAAGAAAAATCACACTGGGTTTACATTGTAAATGAAGCATGGAACCCTAAAAAAGCTATCAAAGGGGCACAAAGAAATCCTAGTATAATGGCACCAAGTTTTCATTATGCTGAGGCTACAACATGAAATCTGACTCATGGCCTGTGCAAGCAAATGTGCAAATGCCAAAATAGAGAAAAAAAATAGAAATACCTTCAAATTGAGCAAGAGATCCACCACCACTTGTGCTCTCTGAGAGGATGCAGAGAGGGCGCAGCAAAAGAGAGCCCGAGATCCACCACCAGCACTAGCCCCTGGATGAGGAAGAGAGAGGGGGAAATGAGGGGATAGAGCTAGAGAAAAAACAAATGCCCCAATCGCACACTGATTTGCGCAGTTAAAATGCCCAAATCTCTCCACCTCTCCCGGCACAAAAAACGCACACAAATCGCTCCACCTCTCCACCTCTACCGGCAAAAAACACACACAATAATCGCTCCCCCCTCCACCTCTGCTGGCATAAAAATCACACACAAAAATGGATCGCTCCTCTCTCTCCGGCGCAAAAAACCACAACCACCTCTGCACGCCGCAGCTTACCGCCGGATTTGGTGGAGAGGAAACCGCAGCCTCTGCTTCCCTCCCCCCCTCCCCCACAACTACCGGCACGATGAGACGAAAACGTCGCCTCTACCGCGGATTCCGCCGCCTCCGCCGTTGATTCCACCGCTGGCGCGACAGGACGAAACAGCCGTAACCTTCCCCCCTCCCAAACCGCCGCCGCGGCGACGTCTCCGGCAGGGATTTGGCCGGAGATTCTCGCCGCCTCCGCTCTCTCCCTCTCTCCGCCGCTCTCTCTCTCGAGCGCCACAGGAATTTTTGAACAGTGCCAACTCTCTCTCTCTCGGTCGGAAAAAGTGCGACTCGCGGTCGGGACAAGCCGACCCGCGGTCAGGACGCGCACGCGTGCCGGATGAAGGCCACGTCGCCCGCGCGCCGATCGACGGCTGCCACGCGCGTCGCGCGATAGCGCTAAACGGAGAGGCCTCTCCGTTTAGATTATACGATTTAATTTATGAAAAGGTATAAAAGTAGGATATTGAATAATAAATATATGGAATTAAATAAAAGATTTAATATCTTAGATCCCGTATTTATGAGATAGATCCCATATCTAGACGAGCGAAAAAGGGAAAATACGAGGCAGAAAGAGTTTGAGAACGAACCCAAGCTGAGCAGCAGCAGCTTCAGACGCATGTGACTGTTAGTATGTGACGATGACGTCACGGCCCCTTGCTTTTTCCAGCTTCCAAGGCCCAAGGGGTCGCTTGCCGTGCCGTAATATCCATCCATCGGATTCCAACGGCCACGATTACACGTGCGCCACCGCCTCCCCCCCTCTCTTCGTCACCTCACCCCCCAACCCAAACCAACAAAAATAAAAACGACGAAAAGAAAAAAAAAAAAAGATCGCGCACACGACCCCCCCGACCCGACGCCGCCACCACCCACCCCCGTCGCAGCAGCTCACCCCCACCTCCACCGCCATAGCCATAGCCAAGCCGCGGGAGCTCCAATCCGAGTCGACCCCGGCGGATTCCGGCAGGGCTAGGCGCGAATCCCTCGCCGCGGCGGCCGCCTGCATCGATCCGGGGCCTCGCGGGAGGGGGGGGACCGGATTTAGGGTTTAATTTATGCATGGCCTCGTCCCCTCCTGGCGCCGGCGCCGGCGGGGAGGAGCGGCCCGCGGCGAGCCCCGCGGCCCCGGCCGTGGCGGAGGCGGTGGAGGAGGGGCCGGTGACGTCGCGGTGGGCGCCGGAGATCAGGGTGTACCGGCGCAAGTACCCACGCAAAAACCCTAAACCCCCTCCGAACCCTAGCCCTAGCTCCAGCCCCCTCGCGCAAACCCTAGCCTCGATTCGGAGGTCGATTCGCCGCCCCGAGGATGGGCCTGCGGCGCCTCGGCCTGATCCGCCCGCCGCGCCCGCTTCCTCCCCCCATCCCCCTCCGCCGAGCGCCCCGGTTGCCCCCGCGCAGCAGGGGGAGCCCGCCGCGCCCGCTTCCGACGACGTCTCCGCGGGGCCTAATCGGGACGGCGGGGCCGTTCCCAACGGCCATGGAGACGTCCGGGCGGCCGCCGAGGAGAAGGCGCGGAAGCGGAGGGCGCGGAGCGAGCTGCGGCGGCAGCTTGCGTCGGAGCTCGACCAGGTGCGTGGGCTTTCCAAGCGGCTGAAGGCGGCCGCTGAGGCCATCGCGGCTGAGTCTGCAGCGGCCCTTGCTTTGCCTGTGGTGGTGCCGCCGCCTCAGCTTCCTGTTGGGTATGCGCACTCGCAGTTCGCACTCGCTGATCCTGTGACGCCCATACCTGGTCAAGTTGCTGGTGCTATTGTTCCGGTCCGCTCAGTGATGCAGCGCGGGCCACTAACCGTGTCAGTGACTCACACAGAGTCCTTCGAGAAGGAGAAGCGGACACCAAAGGCGAATCAGTTGTATCAAAATTCAGAGTTCTTGCTTGCCAAGGATAAGTTTCCGCCTTCAGATTCACATGGTCGTAAGAAACCCAAGCACCACAAGAAGAAGCATCGTTCCTTAGCATCTCATGGTGCTGGTTATGATGCTGAGCAGAGGCTATACTCTCATGCTTTTAAGAAATCTATGTCGCTGCTTTCTAGGCTAATGAAGCACAAATTTGGTTGGGTGTTTAACAAGCCTGTAGATGCTGTTGCGCTTGGTTTGCATGATTATTTTGCTATTATCAAGCACCCAATGGATCTTGGCACGATAAAGACCCGACTCACGCATGGCCAGTACAGGAACCCGAGGGAGTTTGCTGATGATGTACGGCTGACGTTCCATAATGCCATGACCTATAATCCCAAGGGGCAGGATGTGCATTTCATGGCTGAGCAGTTGTTGGGAATCTTTGAGGCGCAGTGGCCCGAAATTGAGGCTGAGGTTCAGTACCTTGCCTCATGTCCGCCATTGCCAAATAAGTTTCCACCTCCACCAATTGACGTGCGCTTCCTTGATCGGTCAGATTCTGTAAAACACCATATGGTGTTGGACTCCAAGTCAAGGCCATTAAGTCATACTCCCACTTATAGTGCCAGGACTCCATCGATGAAGAAACCAAAGGCCAAGGATCCGGATAAGAGAGATATGACAATAGATGAGAAGCGGAAGCTTAGTAACAACCTTCAGAATTTGCCACCGGAGAAGCTTGATGTTGTTGTGCAGATCATTAAGAACAAGAATCTGTCTGTTAGACAGCATGATGATGAGATTGAGGTTGAAATAGATAGCATGGATACTGAGACACTTTGGGAACTTGATAGATTTGTGGCCAACTACAAGAAGAACCTGAGCAAGCAAAAGAGGAAGGCTGAGCGAGCCATGCTTGCAAGGCAGGATGCAGAGTTGCATGCACAACATGTTGCCCCACAACAACCAGTATGGGCATTCAATCATTCCTATTCCTATTCTATAAGTAGCACTATATAGTTAATTGAATTTTATGATTGGTGCTGAAAGTTACAGTTTCTTGGATTGCAGAGTCAAGAGCCTAATATTGGTGTAAAATCTCCAAAGCAAAGTAAGTTAGATCTGCTCTATTTTGTACTTCATCTAATTGTCCAAGTCAATTGCCAGGAACTATGGATTATGGAAGCAATATAATTTACTTATTTTCTTATATGAGCAGATTTGATTGTGGATGAGAAATTAGCTACTTCTGTGCCAGAACAAGCTGATAATAATGGACAAAATGCAAGTAGATCGAGCAGCTCTAGCAGCTCCAGCAGTGATACAGGATCCTCTTCTAGTGGTAATATTTCTTTCTGCCCTTGGTTTTGCTCATCATATTTTGGTATTTACAGTATATATATCTACCAGCTGTAGACATTTGAGTTAGTGTGTAATCAATTAATATTCTTTTTGGCAGACTCAGACAGTGATAGCTCCTCTTCAGATGGATCAGATGCCGCCAATTCATCTTGAAATGTAGGTAGGTTTTATTAAGTAGTTTTTGTGTTCTTATTGCTGTATTTGTTTCACTATAATCTAACCTAGTGAGTTAATTTAAGGTTTTTCTGTTATTATTGAGTTCCTACTTTTAATTTATGTCTCAATGATCCTATTGATGGCAGTCTGTTTCTCCAATATTGCTGGTGGTTATTCAAATAAATCCATTCTTGTGCAAACATAGACATTTTTATTTCTGTGAAATCAATATAGTTAAGTACTATTTATACTATACTCCGTGTGAAATCGTATGTATTCACATCTCTGTATGTTTTAGGAGAAATTTAGAATGTTCCTATCTGACATGCTAATGTGAATATATTGATTCGTAAGCATGCGTACCAGGAGTATACCATGGTAAAGCTCAACTCATAAAATATGTTAATCTGAACTAGTTAATTACCCACTCTTAATTGATTATATAGTCAGGCTGACTGATTTTAAGACTTACCACCCTCTAGCGTAGAACTGGGACTCTGGGAGGGCATCTACTTGGCATGTACATCTAGCTGTAAGCCAAACTGGATGATTTTATGAAAGCACAGTTCAACTGAATGGATGTAAAAAATCTTACGAGATGCATACAATGGGGAAGTCTTTGTGTTTCCTTTCTCTGTAAACTCAGATGGTCGAGGATTCATCTGATAATTTGTAACTCATAAGATGGGAGTGAAATTGTGGTTAACAAGCTGACATGTTATGTATAGCCCAAGATTTGGAATTTGGGAAGGTGGAGAAATAGAATTTGTAGTTTCTTAGGAAGGGATTAGTTCCAGTTTGTTATGCTTCCATATGTTAACACTTAGTTTTCCTAATCCTAAAAGATAATTTCTATTTATTGGGTTCCTCAAAAGTTTCTATCCATTAATTGTTCAGATGGCTGTATAGGAAGGCATCCTTATATTAATGAGCAATGGTAACAGAAAGATGCACTGAGAAAAGAAGTTTCATATTTTCCTCTTGTTCTTCTAGATTGCTTTAGAGCCTTGTGTCTACAGCAAGAGTACGCCTCCCAGTAGACAAATCAAGGGTCAGAGTCAGTGCCCTATCCTGGTTTATCGGGTCCTTATCCTGTTTCACATTACAAGAGGTACTTGTGGGTTTCTCTCCTAGGTTCAGGGGGTCAATTATATTTCAGGCAACGCTACAAACTTGATGGTTTTAGTGTGTCAAGCTAAGCAGAAAAACAAGAGATTATCATGTTTGTGGACTAGATGCAGGGCCCCTTGTGTTTACTGACGTCCAAACAGGGTTAGGGTATTCTATCTGTGTTATGGTTTCTGGAGCCATAGCATTAAAAGCCAGACTGGTCATCAGGTCAGACTCTCGGTTTGTTGTTCTGACAGTCTGACCGGAGGAACACTGGTTAAGCTGTGGTTAAAAGAAACTTCAAATATACTCCCTGCTTCCCAAAATATAAGGTGTGTTAGCCTTTTACAGAGTCTCCAGGAGTATACTTTGAATCTTTTTTACCATTAATTTATTTTGTAATACATTATCGACAACTAAGAAATTAATATCATATGAAAGTACATTCTAATACGAATCTAATGATATCACATGCGTGGCAATAAAAATATACTTTAATTATTAGTAAAAAAACACATTTGACTGTTCTAACAATAAGGGTGCTTTGTATTTTGGGATGGAAAGAGTATTTAATATTCCTTCATGGACACAACAAAGATACCACCTGTCCAGTCTGTCAGTTCATATTATGCCTAGAGGCAGGTGGATATGAGTCTGCTCACATTTCTCTTTAATATCACAGCGCTATATTATGGTAAGCATTCCCCCATTTGGAATGCACTTTGCATCGCTTAACAATGTTTGTGACATCTGTCATCACATCCAACTAGTATTCACTAAGGCCCTAGGTGTGTCTGTTGGAGGACTGGCGCCTGGTAATCAGCCGTATAGATTGGATAAATCGGCTAGGTGAGTAAGGCTTGAAGTTGAAGGTGTCAGCACTGCAAGCTACCTCGGCATGAGGAGGCTAGGCGTCTGCCTTTCAGAATGCTGCCTCCAAGGCTTCAACTATCATTAGTTAGTACAAGAGAGTATGTTTGTCCAGTTTGGCCTGAGTCAGAAGGCGTTGGGGTCATTGGAGTCGATGACGGTTAACTCATAGCTAGAAAGGTTCAAAATATCTCCACTGATCCAAATCTTGTCTAGCTCTAGCTCGATTGTTGCTCTTCGTGAGTATTTTCAATAATAACTTCATCTCAAATTGGTATTTGATAATACGACCAATTCACGCAAGCACATCCCCATGAGTGTTTTAGTGCATACTTCTAATTCACTTCATGTGCAATTATGTGCATGAGCCTGTGCTCTCTGCGCAAACAGTTCCCGACAACCCTTTCTACCATACATGAAAATCTTGTTTTGTTTGACACTAAACATTCTCATGAGGATGAATTGCTTCATTGTACTCCTACAGTGTAGTAGCTGAATGCCATAGCCATCTTGAACACTTGTGCGACACATTCTCAAAAACCTTGTGGATGGTGGCTACATTGTTAAACCTAGGATAGGATGGGGAGGGTCACAGTTACAGAAATGCAGTTTGTCTCAGCAAAGCCACGATATTTTGGTGTCCTAGATCAAATGCCATGATTCAAATTGGAGATGCCATTTGTTCCCCAAAGACTCATTCATTCCTTTTCAAATTCTTTCTTATGGATCATTGGATCCTACCCATTGCAAAACACAACAAAACATGACACTTATCATACATGGCTACATGAGAAACTATTTTAACCTCATTTATGAATACATATTATGTAATGATTGAAATGTTTGTCTTAGCCATTCAAATCTTCTTTTGTCACAAAGCTTTTAATTCTTAGTTCCTGCTAACTGGAAACACATTTTCTTTGCACTGGGCATAGTACGAAAAGTTAGTCTGATGGCCAGTTCCGGTTTAACTGCAGTTCACGGAATTTGAATTATAGTGTATGTTCCATTTCAAATGCAAGTTGATGGTGGTGGGGTGGTAGTGGTGACGTTTTCAGTTTGAAGACCCATGCTTGAACCCCTTCATCCTTTTTTCGCTTGATAGTTGATACAAGTTGTGTGCCTGGATGTTCTGTTAGGCCTTGCTTTGGCCCCATTCTCTGCTATAGCCATGCTTTTCAGGTCCACCAGCATTTTCTGGAATGTTGCCTGGTTCAGAGTGAAGCTGCCTGGTCTATCCAGTTCAAAGTGTTCCATATGCATGAGTGGTCTTAGCAGATCAGACTGAGCACAACACCAATTCCAGTTAAAACTGCTTGTCTGGTCCAGCTTTTTTCAACTATGGCACTGGGATTGAGCAATACCTGTTTCTTCCTTCTTTTTTAAGATTTAAGATAGTAACTCGGGGATTTATTCTCTCTCCATCATGTGGAGTGCTATGTATAAGCCATTTTCACTTGGTTGAATTTGCCTAATAGAAGAATTTTTGCCAGTTGGAAGAATGGAGGTATGGCAGTAAAAACAATTAAACAGATGTGTGTAACATCCCTACTACATCCAGACATTTATAATATGGTTACATAACAATTGGAGAAAGGTCTATCTCCTTTAAGTAAAGAACTACTAAGAAATGATGCCTGCACTGAAATTCATATTTACAGAGCAATAATTTATCTTTAGAATATCCCTTAAGTGCTTCAGTTTGTTGTGGTAATCAATTATTTACTCACTGCTATAATGTGTTTAACTTCTTGTCTGTTTCCTTCTGGAGTTCCTTTCTTCATCCTGTAGTCATTCTACTTGGTTTTGCCTTGCTGTGCTTCTTGATAAAATAATAAGTACGTTGAGGACCTTCCTGTGCTTTAGTTTGCTTGTGCTTTTATTCTTACTAGTAAATTGTGGTGTTATGCTAGGATGGCCATCTGAAGACCTTTTCAGAGTTAAACCTTGGTGCTTGCAACCTATTTATGCATCAGTATTCTTTTATGAAGAAATCCTGCAAATGATATAGACCCAAGTCTTTGGTTGATTGGCAGTAGTCTTCCTTCATACAGTTACACTTGGTCTCAATGAGAAAAAGAATCAAAAACAAATTTAAAACCCTGTAGTCTCATAGTTGTCTCTCTTGCATAGGGACTTAGTATAATCGAGTTTCTTTCCTGATATGATCACATGAGCTAGCAGCCCGATTAATTGGTGCCAAACACTTAGGTTACTTTTCTCAGTCACCATTTTCAGAGCTTTAGGAGTTGACAGTGTCATTTCGAATATCTGATTCATCATTTTTTGTGATATGTACTTTCATATGCTTATAAATGTGCATTTTGGAAGTATGGAACTGTGAGAGTCAGATGATTGTTGCTTTTAGCATAGACTCTGTATAGTACTTTGGGTGTGTGAAAGTAATAATTTAGCCTTTTATAGGCGGAATTGGAGTCGCTTGTCAGAGCGTGACAATCTTGGCTGCATAGATTTATTGTACATGCGAGGGTGTGCAGTTGATCACTGCATCTGTTGATCCTGCTTTTTACCTGCTATAGCAACCCTAGTGGTTTCATTAAAACATATTTGGACCTATTAGCTCTGTTCCATGACTGTCTAGGTACTTTAGTTCTATAAGTGGCTCTGCTATTCTCTAATTGGTTCACTCATAACGTTCACCTTCTCCTGAATTGCAGATTCAGAACTTCATCCAATGAAGAATAACTGTCTAATTGTATTTGGCATGACAATGCCTCAGCAAGACTCAAGACATGCCTATCTTCGTCTATCTAGGAAATCTCCGAGTTGCAGCTAGGATGTCATCCGAAGGCAGGATTCTGCAAAGGCCTGCTGAGCCTGATACAAGTTCCATTCTGCTGCTTCTGTGTACTTATGATTGTAGGTTAACTTTGTACACTAGTCCATTTTCATTTGTTTGGCAGCAGAGTGCAGCTGTATTATATGCACCTTGGCATTATGGATACCCCCAGCTGAAGGCAAGGTATTCACTAGGCTCAGATCCAATAAGACAGGCATGCATGCTGACGCTGATCTTATCTGGGTAGGAGTTCTGTAGCCTGTAGATTAGCCACAGCTGGAGCATTATTTACGTTTTGCCGCGTTGATTACTTGATTGCTGCAGTGAGTAGGAAGGTGATTTGTCTAACAGTTTGGTGACTCCACTCCTCTGGAATACAGGTAATGTTCTGACTATTTAACCGTTCCGCATCAAATGTGGCCTGTTGACGGTGTTGTAAAATTTAGCCAGATGAAGTCTGTTGATAAACGTTGCTTTGGTGTTTGTCTTGTGTTGCCTGTGATCCAGTCCATGTCCTTTGTGATGAATGCTTATTCCGAAACTGATCGTACTGTATTGTCAGATCGTTTTGTGCACGAGTTTTTGCAACCTTTCCGGTGGGGTTGCCCCATTTGCTTATGATAGTTTGTTTTGTTCGTTGTCTGTACCCTTGGACTCTATCCATTTAAGTTGGGCATTCGTTTTGGTTGGAAGCTTGAAGGAAGCTGCTTAATATTTTCTTTTTCTTCACTACGAGATGAACTGAACATCTGGTGGTTGGTTTCTTGTTCTCTTTGTACTTTGTAGTAGGACTAAAGTGCCAGTCTAACTTGATAGTAGTAAAGCAGCAGCATTATAGATCCGCACAACTAGATGGGATGTTGATTGTTATCTGTTTGTTTGGGCCTGTTCGAAGACAGATTTTCTTCATTTTCCGTGGGAATGTGGCTGATTCATGTATGAATAAACGTCGTGTACTCTTAAAAGAAAAGAGAAAACGAATGGTTGTAGTCCAATGCTCAGTTTGGTCCACCCAAGTGTCGCCTTCCTTTGCACAAATGATAGCCGAGCAGGTTGCCAGATACGAGCCAACCAACTTTCTGAGATGCTAGAACGTCAGATGCGTTGGATTATGCCTGTGGAAAAATAATAATAATTAAAGAACCACCGTTTTGTCAGTCTCACGGACTGTAAGGTGATGTTGAATACAAATGTTAGAGCAAGCTTAACCAGGTTATGGGCAGGCATATCATATGTTCCATGTGAAAGCAACATAATAATTTTTTTTAACATATGATCCATGTCAAAAATTATGTCCCATTTCTGGTGGTGGTGGTAGCGGTTGTTAAGGTCGTAAGGATGAGTTCATACCATATATTTATTCATATATAAGCCATCAGTCATCACTAATCGTTGCAAGTCTGTAATCCCTGCGAACGTGAAGATTTAAGTGCAATTCGTTTTATGGCTAATCACTCTAGGTAGAATTTAAAAACCTTGATTCCGTATTTTACATTTTGTCATGAAGTATTTGCACAATAATTGTTTTTTTTAAAAAAAAAAGGTGCATGCACTACTGTTGCTACAGTCGATGTATCTCATTATTTGCCACGTTTGTTCCACCCCTTTCAATGTATAAATTAATCCATCTGTTTCATGCCTCAATCATTTGGTCACACCACAGCTATCAGGTTAGGTTTTGGAGTGGTTTCCTTCTTGTGAAAAAGCTGCACATGCCAGTACCATTAGAAAAAACTGGAGGTGTATTTTGCAACTACTTGACAACAATGTTTAGAGAGGAAACCACCCCCTTACGCAATTTTTTTATGGTTAGACCAACTTTGCTCTGGAAGGTTTGGTGCTGTCTTCTGACTTCTCACCGAACCACAAGGGCCATCAACAAAATCAACAAGAAGATATTAGGAGGAAACTTGGGAGGATTAGTTTAATTTCTTCTTCTAATGTGGGTGATTCAGGGAGCCCATGTTATGGCACCGTGGTGGATAAGAAAGTAGTATATTAGTATCATTTATCTAAAAATTTCATACCAACCAGATTTGCATCATTTTGACCTATCTGATGTGGTTTTAATCTGCCAGCCAATCCTTTTCTTCCTTTTAAGAAAAGAAATTTTGGTTCACTGGTTGGTAACACAGCACAATCGTTTCTTTTTCAGTTGGTGTTGTATCGCATTTAAATTGACCACCATACGACCTTTGCTTATGTAGTCTTGTGTTCATCATCCATCTACCTGGAGTATGTTCTAAGCTCTAACAGTTTATGACAGTGACACATTGTTAAATTGCTATGCACAATGACAACGCATTTTAGGTTTTCTTTGGAGCAAATGGGATATATTTTATTGATCCATACTGAATTGAATTATTTCATGAGAAATCCCCCGCATTCTAGATACAATCTTATCACTAAACCGATCAAACTACCGTACTTAAGTATTGATACACAACGGTAAGAAAAAAGAAGTATTGAAGGGAAAAAAAACTGTAAAATGATGAGGAGCAATCTGCGCAGTGATTAAGGGAAAATGACGGCCAAATCGAATGCAACCCAACCATGACTTTGTCTATTAAATTTCCTGCTTGGATGAACATATTCGGCAACACGTGCCATTTTGGGCAGAACTGGTGTCAAAAGTTGTTCTGTTGGTATGCACTGAAGTTTTTTGCGTGCGGATTTGCGATGCTAAAAGTTGTCACTACCATGGTTTTGCTGTCAATTTATACTTCGTTAGCTAAAGAGGTGCATTATGATAGATCTCATTAGGTGCAATTGCTGTTGGAAATTTTTAGTGTGGACCAACCGATTATTACTCAATTGAGTTAAAGCCAGAGGTATTACTCTGATTAAAAACCAGAACAAGTGCTTGCAACTTATAATACTCTAGCTGGATAAAACCAAGTTTCTCAGAACGAACTTCTAACAACTTACAAATAACACGATGATTATAAATTAACTCCTATCAATTTGGACACAAGCATGCCCCCACTGCATTTTGGCAAGAAAAATGCGGTCACACTTATTTGATTATTCTACCTATTTATAATGTCGGATATAGGAATTCTTTCGAGCCTAGATGAAACTCGTTACAATATACCACCATACCATTTTATACAATGATGTAATATTTTCATCTCTTATGCCAGTGAATTAGGACAATCGGCCAGTATTATTTAAACTTTTAAGATCGAAAATGTATGACATAAATAATATACTAGAAAAAAAAATATGCCGGTCCAATATTTCGGAGATAATCATAAGGATATGATGTACGTGTGTATGTTTATAGTGGTGAATGTGCACGTGTTATAAGCGCATACGTTTATACTGTGTTTCTATAATAAAAGTAGAAATACGAAAACATGAGTTCACCCAATCCAGAGCTTCCAACCTCATATACAGGCCGAGTTTAGTTCCAAAATTATTATTTAAACTTCTAACTTTTCCATCACATGAAAACTTTCCTATACACATAAAGCTTTTCCGTCACATCGTTCTAATTTCAGCCAAACTTCTAATTTTAGTGTGAACTAGACCCACCATTAGTCACACACTCTCCACTCCCCAATTTGATCTAACACTGCCAAATTACCCAGACCAAAAACTTTGACTCCAAACACGCTCTCTTCATCTAGCTCGAGTCCAACAAACCCTGCCCGAAATACGCCCCCAAAGTCCAACCGTGTAGCCCACTTTTTCCTCCATTTCTCACACATACGTGCCGTCGAATCCCCCACCTCCTCCACACCGGACAGCCTGCCCCCAGCTTCCTTCCTTCCTTCTCACCTTCCTCCTCTCTTCGCCTCCTCCCCTCTTCTTCCCCACTCCTCCCCCTCCCAATCCCAAATCGCAATTACTCCCCAAGCCGCGAGAGAGCCCGAGAGTAAACTAATCGCCATCCGCCACCGCGCAGCCGCGGCAGCTAGCTCGCGAGAAGAAAACGCCACGCGACCCGAGAGCGAGAGAGAGAGAGAGCTAAGCCGCCGTGCGCCACGCCACCACCACCAACCCATCCCAATCTCTCTCTCTCTCTCTCCTCGTGCTCCTAGCTACAAGAAGAACCCCCTCACCCCCACCCCGGACACCTACCTAGCCGCTACCCCTCTCTCTTCCTCTTCTTCTTCTTCTTCCCTCTTCTTGTGGTGGTGGGTTTGACCCAAGAACGGAGGAGGGATAGGGCGGGCGGCGATGGGGGCAGTTCGGGGGATTTTGGTCGTGGCGGTGGTTCTTGCGGTGGCGGCGATTCTTGCTGGGGCGGCGGAGGGGAAGGTGAACGGGAAGGCGAAGGGGAAGTACAGGGCGCTGTTCAACTTCGGGGACTCGCTGGCCGACGCCGGCAACCTCCTCGCCAACGGCGTCGACTTCCGCCTCGCTACCGCCCAGCTCCCCTACGGCCAGACCTTCCCCGGCCACCCCACCGGCCGCTGCTCCGACGGCCGCCTCGTCGTCGACCACCTCGGTGCGCCCCTTGGTTTCTCCGCTAGATTGGATTTCGATGTCTGCCTGCTTTGTGTTGCTGATGGTTTGGTTTTTTGGTTTGGATCGCAGCCGACGAGTTCGGCCTGCCGCTGCTGCCGCCGTCCAAGCTCAAGAACTCCAGCTTCGCTCACGGCGCCAACTTCGCCATCACCGGCGCCACCGCGCTCGACACCCCCTACTTCGAGGCCAAGGGGCTCGGCGCCGTCGTCTGGAACTCCGGCGCCCTCCTCACCCAAATCCAGTGGTTCCGCGATCTCAAGCCCTTCTTCTGCAACTCCACCAAGGGTATAATCATAAATTGCATATGCCCAAATCCCCACCTTACCTTGTAGCTACCTCGCCTCACTGAATTTGGGGATTTGTTTTTGTTTTTATCTCCAGAGAGAACTGGATTGGGGAATTGTATCTGATTGTTTTGATGTTTTTGCAGTGGAATGCGATGAATTCTATGCGAATTCGCTCTTCGTCGTCGGCGAGTTTGGTGGCAACGACTACAATGCGCCGCTGTTTGCGGGGAAGGGCCTTGAGGAGGCCTACAAGTTCATGCCGGATGTCATCCAGGCTATCTCCGATGGCATCGAGGTAGAAATTCAATAGCTTCGTTGTGTCGCCTATTTGTTAGTGGTCATGTGGAGAATGTGATTTCAATTATACAACTGTTCGTGTTTGGTGCAGCAATTGATTGCTGAGGGCGCAAGGGAGCTGATTGTACCCGGTGTGATGCCCACTGGATGCTTCCCTGTCTACTTGAACATGCTCGATGAGCCGGCCGATGGGTATGGCCCCCAGAGCGGCTGCGTCCGTCGGTACAACACATTCTCATGGGTGCACAATGCACATCTCAAGCGCATGCTTGAGAAGCTCCGGCCCAAGCACCCCAATGTGAGGATCATATATGGCGATTACTACACGCCTGTTATCCAGTTCATGCTTCAGCCCGAGAAGTTTGGTAAGTTCTTGAGCTCTTTGATAGTTAGCTAGCTCAGGAAGCATCAGTTCGTTCTTATCCTTTATTTCACATCGGTACTAAATTGGCTTTTCTAGCAAAATAACTGTTTTTTAGCTCTTGCTGCTCTAATTTACTTGAACAGATCAAGTCAACTGATACCTAGAGTCAACTTTTCCTCCTGTCACCCTTGAAAGACACAATATATTATTTTTAGATAGTTCAGATCTGGGTAGAGGTGCCTTATCTCTCTAGTAGCACACTGCAATATTTCAAATTACAGTAATGATGGATCACAATTTGTGATTTGAAACCAATTAGAGTAGCTCCATCTATGTTCAGAGTAAATTGGAAGCAAAGTTACTAATCCCATCTTCATTAGAATCTTTTACACTAGTCTGTAAAGTAGTATGGCTATCAGTTCTATTAGTACTCTACCACTCTTTGTTCAAACCTTGTCCTGTTGTTAATTGTCTTCTTGAGAGAGGGGGCCATCCTGAACTATAATGAGATTCCACCCATGATAGGTAATGTGGGGCTAACAATTAGGATTGTCTGATGGTCTGATTGTTATACAAGCTACATACACAGGCTGCCCAACTTGTTTCTCCAGGCAACCATGTAAAAAAGCTTTGAACCTTAGCCATACTGTCACCTACTTTAAAATTATGGTTGTGGCAGCTCTGCTCTTGTTTGATATGATCTAGTTCAGTTTCAAAACTGCCACATTTTGATTGTCTCCATACATATTTTGCCACCGATTCTTTTAAAACCTCGCACATGGGTTCGAGTGGGTGTATATTATCCTCGTGAGTTTAATTCGAATAGCAGTGGCTTGAAAACACCACAAATAAATAAAATGACACATTGGCACGTTTTCCCTACCTAACCTTTTTACCTTTTTCCAACCATCGTGTGTATCACAAATTTCAACATGTCCTTGTTGCGGGGAGTACAGACATGTAGGAATTGCTCTGTTAGCTGAGCCATCCTTTTTGGTGATCCACTTCTGTTATCTAATGCTTGCTTACCTTGCTGGCAATGACCTTTTTTATGCTTTGTAGTTAGTGCTTTTTAATTAGAGGGAGCATCAGCAGGTAGAGTTATGAAATCTTCTGCATAGTTTAATGGCCAAGTTGGGCATCACGGTTCAATGGCCTTGTCATCTCTAGATCACATCCGCTAGCATTTCTCTTTCATTGTGTGTGGTAGCAACAAACACATCTTTGGCCCATTTAATTCTGCTAATAGAGACTGTTTCTGTCTCAACTGGTGAAGAAAAAGGATTCAGATGCATTATTGTTGATTAAAAATTGAAAACATCTAACGTTCTTGCCTTTTCAATTCAGGATTTTACAAGCAGCTACCTAGGGCATGCTGCGGGGCTCCTGGGTCCGTTGCGAAGGCCGCTTACAACTTCAATGTCACAGCCAAATGTGGTGAGGCTGGTGCAACCGCGTGTGATGATCCATCAACCCATTGGAGCTGGGATGGCATTCACCTGACAGAGGCGGCTTACGGTCACATTGCCAGAGGTTGGGTATATGGTCCTTTCGCTGACCAACCGATCTTCCAATCTTCATGAGAAAGTCACTTCTTCCGTTGTAATTGTAGAGGTGTATCACGATAGTGCACTGAAATGGAGCAGGGAAAGTAGTTCTTCCATATGGTTCCAAGGTTGCATACATGTATATTTTCATTCTATTACATTCATTGCAGTCAGGTACAAAGGTGGAATAGGGCTGTCAAAAGCTTGATTTTGTTTATTTGTCAGGCGACATAACTATGAAAATGTAACAGACACATGATTGTGTAAATTGCCTCCGGAAATATGATACAAATTGTCTTTTTGAGTATCTCCGGTTTCCCTGGTTCAAATCTGCCCTGTTCTTAGCAGCAGCTTTTGTCTGAACATGTTGCTGCGTTCTTGTACAGAAAATGAGCTCTGCCTGAAAGTTTATTTTTGGTGCATTTTAGCTGCAAACAATTAGCAGAAGGTGAGGGTTACTAGTGCTAATTGAACTGAACATGGCGAGGTAACGGGAGAAGAATCCTGAATATACAATTGGCAGTGATGGATGCAGAATTCAGAACAGTGCATGCAGGTGGGAGTTGAAACTAATGAACTGATCTGAAGAATCTATTTTTATTATTGCGTTGTACGTTGCTTGCCATGTGATTCGCACTTATTTTTAGCAGCCCACGAACTGACGAACCCTGGTTTGTTTTCTCCTTTTTGTTGTCAGTGTATCCCTATAAGTTTTGAAGTATGAGCTGTCAATGGAGATATCAAAAGATATCGAAAAGCAAAGAAATTTCCTTTGGTACTAGTAGGAGTGATTACTGAAGCAAGTACATCCAAGTTAACTGAAGAAAATTCCAGATTGCATTAGTACTTCTTAAGGGAAAAAAGATTCGTTTAAACATTGAGCATTAGGACAAACGAGAGACAAAGGACAAACTTCAGATTCCAGAAGAGTTACTTCACAAGTTCACATCTCGTGTTTCAGAATCGCACATGGTCGTACTAGTGCACTAGTTACTTACGATCTGTCCAAAAGAACGCAATTGTTATACTACATGTACTAGTACAGTATATTGTCCTACTGCCCTACTGGTCCTCACTTGTGCTTTCTATTGTACTCATGGGTCATGGCAATTGAAGAATATGATATTATTGGAATAATTGTGCCAAAAAAAACTCATGTAAACATTTTCAAGCCAACTCACACATTTAAAAGTAAAAATGCAACAGCATACTGGCAGATTTTTTTTAGTAAATTTCATAAAACCTTACATATTATGATCCAAGTTGCATAAAATTTCATAAAACCCTTAAGATTTATTTCTCCATTTTAGCACATGGTACATAACCCCAGGTACTGTTAACCAATTTTATATACCCCTATATAAACTCTTTGAAAAGTTTTACATATGTGCATGTAACATTTATATTATGGATAAAAAAAATTCATAAATTTAAGATGTGATCGTAGAACTTAAAAGTATGGTGGATCAATGCCAAAATGAACAATAGTATGATTTTGTAAAATTTTACAACCATAATACACGAGGTTAAGTGTCACGTGCTAAAATTGCTATGATTTTATTCAACTTAGACCACAATATCTAGAATTAATTAAGTGAAATTTACCTTTTTTAAGGGGAGGGGGGTTTGTGAGAAATAAATCCATCTTACTATGATAAAACTCATAACATTTAACTTAAAATTCAAAAACTAGGAAACCATAGGATCTGATTTCTCTTATTAGTACTATACAGTTAAGAGTAAATTTCACTTTGGGGCATGTATTTTGACCATACTTGCAACATGGACTAGGGATAGAACTATGTTTTCATTTAACACCATATATATTTGCAAGCTTTTGCATTTTGCACCGGGTCAATGGTTTAGACTGCTATGTTGCTTCTCCAAATGCGCATAAATTACTTCACTTATACCTATAACTAACGCAGCAATCGCAACGGAGCAATAGCTAATTTTGCACAAAATCAATCAAGCTTAACCCAAAATTAACAATCTCCCTAAGAAACCATAAAATAAAGTACCCGTGACTCCCTCCTCTTTTCAATCCTAGCATCATGCGAGATGTTCTCCATTGATGAAACTGACAAAGTCAAACTGCCAGATGAAGCTGATGAGGGTTTCGATGACCTGTACCGCCGCGCTGGTGACTGATGTTGACCACAGAGTTGCTTGACATTATTCTTACTATAAACTTTTTAATTAATTAGAGCTGTCGATTTACTAGATCGATCCCAAGGAAGATCGAAGATGGCAATGCAGAACGGAGGTGAAGACGTGGAGTCCACCACCTGCTGCTTGCATGCACGGGTGGAGAAACCATTTATACTCTCGGTTGGTAACCCCTCTTTAGTCCCGATTCCAATCTTTTTAATCCCGGTTTTTCAACCGGGACTAGCAATCCGGGACTACTTTAGTCCCGGTTTTCCAACCGAGACTAGCAATGCGGAACTAAAGATGTCCATATTTAGTCCCGATTGAAATAACCGGGACTAAAGATACCTAAGAGAGGGTAGCGGCAGTCCCATTAGGTCTCCTTTTCTTTTTTTTTCATTGTTTTTTTTTAGCCAGAGTTTAATCCCTGTATTTTCTCCCAAATCAAGTGGGATGCATATTCCAAATCAAACCCAACATCCCAAAACATTCACATCACAAATCTTAAGTTACTTGTACACACAAATCAAATACATCACAAATCTTAAAAAAATTATACACAAACCAAATACATCACATATTATACATCTCAGATCCATACAACAAATCACAAAATTATACATCTCAGTGAATCACAAATTGTAAAATCTCAGTGAATCACAAATTGTAAAAAAAAAGAGAAAAAATAATGGATGCCGGTAGCGCCGCCTGCCGCCGCTCGCTACTCGGCCCGTGCCCAGCGCCTGCTGCTTGCGGCCCTACCGGGTGCGGCCCCGCTGGGCACCGGAAGGGAGGAGGGGGAGGAGGCGGTCATTGCTGGGCATCGGATGCGAAGGGAGGAGGGGGAGGAGAGGGTAGGGATGGGAGGAGGAAGAAGAGAGGGAGATGGATCTGAGGAGAGGCCGGTTGTTGAGGAGATTGAGGCCGGTTGTTGGTGAGAGGATAGGGAATAGGGATTATATACTACACGTGATTTTAATCTCGGTTAGTAATACCGGGAGTAAAGATCTAGGAGATTTTAGTAGTGGTGATCTTTAGTCCCGGTTTGTGACACCAACCGGGACTAAAGATCCCCGCCCCTCTGACAAGGGACCGACAGGGGTTGGTAACGTAGAATGGATGTGGGGTTTTAAACCGGGACTAAAGATCAGTTTTGGGACGACCGAGTAAAGATCAGTTTTCTAGTAGTGATGGCATGCCATGGACAGAGCCACAGTGGCAGTTCAAACCCTTCACTCCGGTCCAAAGTGAAAAAGCTTGCCAACATATATGGTGTTAAGTGAAAACATCAACTTATCCCTAGTCCAGGTTGTAAACATGGTCAAAATACCTAGCCCAAACTGAAATTTACTCTACAGTTAAAGCTCTTGGTTTTGAAGGGTGGTGAGACTGTTGTGTTACGTTGTATAAAGAGGCAGATAACTTCAGTCGCGCACAGAAGAACTCCAATTCCAACTCAATCGAACCTCCAAGAGGAGATTTGGAAGAGGATGGAATTAAAATTAATCATCGTCGGATGATCCATGTAAGTCAGTCTCCTTGTTCTTCTACCTACTTAATCATCTCTGCTTATTGATCATGAGTTTTTTTTTGACATACGTATGTAACAATCTATCGATCTAATCAGTTAGATATGACTCAATCCAGTTCTGGTATTGGGAGCATATATACACATGAGACAGATTATGGCTTGCAAGCTAGCTGCAATATCGAATCCATTTTATACAGCTAGATGAGAAATGAGGATCCAAAATGTTCTCCCCAAAACAAGGATCCATTTTCGCCCAAATTTCACATGCGCGCGCAAAACAAATGATAATTGCAGTGCTACAGAAACTATAATTAACTTGATTGCATATACATTGGTCGCAAACTCCCAAAATACGAGCACCACATGTAACTACGTTGCACAACATGATCGCTGCATGAATAATGAATAGCTAAGTTGCAGAAGATAATGTCTGAGCATTCGGAAACATAGTCCTTTTTTTTATATATATAAAAAGACATTTTGAATCCTGCAAATTCCACAGAAATTCAGATTCAGGTATGGATCGCGGTCATTAACAAACGGAGTATAATTAGCTGTTGCAGCATCAGCATCAGCTCTATATACGTACCTGCGAAGGGGTAATAGTTTCCTGAATTTCAATTCAAAGAAGGATTCAAAGTAGTTCATGTGACAGGGTTAATTACCTTCCAATCTAGTTAAGTCCCCATGGGTGGATACAGATGAACAATCATATGCATGTTTTTGCCATGCATATGCGATCTGCCATCTATCCCCTCATGCATGTTCATATCCTCACAAGTAATCTCGTCACACAGCAGTTGATTAGCTTCAATTGATTAACAAATGTATGCATCATCTGGAACTGAATTTCCATCATATATTAATTTTAGGCTTTTAGGAATTAGGACACGGCAGTTCATTAGCACCAATCGATTAACAAAAATGTATGCAATACCTGGAACTGAATTTCCACATAACTAGCAGGTTTTTTGACAAATTGACCCTTTTGGAAAACTTATTTCGAAACTAACCCCTGCCAAAAACTTCATCCAAAAATAGGCCGTCGCCTCAGCGCCAAACACATTGGCGCTGACGTTGGCCGTGTCAGCGCCAACGGGACTGGCGCTGACATTGTGCCACCGTGGCGGCCGGGCCGATCCCCAGCTGACGTGGCAGCTACCTCAGCGCCAACCGGACTGGCGCTGAGGTGGGACTTGGCCGCAACCCCCAAGGCCCAGACAAGCAAGGCTTCTGGATGGCTTGCGGGCTTGGACCTCAGCGCCAGCCATAATGGCGCTGACCGTGCGACACTCAGCGCCAGCCCACCTGGCGCTGAGGTTGGACTTGGCCGTTTCGGCCGTGGCCCAGCCCAGCAAGCCTTCTGGATGGCTGGGCTGGGACCTCTGCACTGGCGTTGAGTTTGGACATGTCAGCGCCATTTAGCATGGCGCTGACGTCCCAGCCCTGCTAAACTTTAGTAAAACTTTGCACACAACACAGGCAAACATCAAATCACAGAAATTTACAGGCAGCAATATATCCAGAGAACCATACAAAACATACATCCATCCATCAATCCCAACATCATTCCATACATCCATAGAATCCATCAATACATCCATATATGAAGTCCATATATATAAGAAATAAAAACATCCCATCGATCCTCGTCTATACATCCAGTCGAGTCCATACATCCAGTCCATACATCCATCGAACCATGCATCAAGTCCATCCATCTATCCATCCATCCATTGAACCATGCACTCACCTCCTCCTACCTCTAGTGCGAGGACGAGGCACGTCGGGGGTGTACCTCCAGTCCTGCGAAGGAGCCCGCCGGCGTCGTGGTCGAGACGGGCCGGGCTGCGAGATATCCGGCTGTGACGACTCTGGTGCGTCCTCTAGCTGCGAGGGACCGAGCTCATCCGCCTCCTCTTCTCTGTCCTCATCCCCTTCTTCCTCCTCATCTCCTTCCTCCGCCTCTTTGTCTTGCTCGCCCTCCTCGTCACCCACCTCCCCTTCTTCATCCCCCTCTTGGTGGGCATGAGCATGTTCGACCACATCAGTCGACCTGCAGCCGAGCCTTGCTGCCAACTTCCGACATCGCTGCCGTAGTCTCTGCATAAAAAATAATCCATGTTAAGTTATCGCTTTTGGAAGAAAACACCGTAGTTTCATCTCTTTCCAACGATTACCTGTAGGGCGTTGCGGAGGGTGCCGCCCTCTCCTTCAGAGCCAGGAGCCGTGCCTAGCGCCACTCCCGCGTCGTTGACGGTCCGCAAGAGCTCTCGAGCCTGTAGGATTGAAATGAAGTAAGTCACAACATATATGGCATTGAAATGAAATAATATACAACATTAATGCTAGAAACTAACCACTCTGTCGCGAACAGGTCCCGTCTCGACCGTGGTACCTAGACGGGTACGAGTATCGTACTTGTTCTGCTCCTCAACATCCTCGGGGTCATCCGCTATGTCGGCTAGTGTCCAAGCCGGACGTAGGACAAGACGGTAGGTCCTGTGGAGCCACGCCAAGTACAAGTCGAACTCCGTCCCGTTGTGCTGACCCTGGTCTGGTACTCCATTCTCCTCGAACTTCTCCCATTGCGTGATATGATCCTGATGGTAGTAAGCCCAATCAGTCACCTTCTTGTTCTTCCGACGGTCCACCCTGCACGTATGCAAAATGTCCAACTCAAATATGTAGTAAATGTTGAAGTGACTGATTGGGCAAGCAAAATAAATTGTTAAGTGAAATTACTAACTTGTGTAGGTCGATACTCGTGGAGAAACGGTGCGGGATTGTTTGAAGCCTCCCGAATTGCCGCATCACGCGGTGGCACATCTGGAACTCCACTGCATAGAAGCAGATCAGTGGGCACCGTAGGGTCTTCAACGCATCCTCTATATGGCACATGGGATTCAGTTCTAGCTTGAGCACTTCCTGTGCCTGATATGGCATCCACACCACCTGCAGCAACAAAAATAAAACACATTGAAGCACATTTAGTACTATATAGTAAGAAACCATCTTCATGTGTGATAGAACCCCGAATAGCTTACATGTTCTGGCTGTAGGTAGTCCATCTCGTTTGTGTAGTGGTAGTACGCCAAATTCCTGCGGCCTACTACTGGAGATGGGACCGATTCCCACAGGTGAGCTACAGTGGGACGTCGGTCTGCATCCTGGTGTGGCCAAGCCTGATGGGTCCTCCACATGGGCCGACCAACTGGAAGCCTCATCCACATCCAAACCTGCGTCACATACGTTAGCTTCCAACATGTTAGCAAGAAATTGAAATGTTATGAAACATAACATGCGTGAACTTACCTGTAGCAACCAAACACAGCCTGCTAGGTTCGCGTCCCCGCCTTGCCTTCGGCAAGCATCACAGAGTTGCCGGTACAACCAGGCTAGGGCAGCCGACCCCCAGCTGAAGGTACCCGCCTCGTCCCAGTCCGCAAGCAACAGCAGCCACATCCAAGAAGCCATGTCTCCACCAGAGTCAGGGAACAGAATACTGCCGAAGATGTACAGCACGTACGCCCTGCAGTATCGCTGTACTGTAGCCTCGTCTGCCTCAGCGGGACACTGACCGAAGTTGGCTCGCAACCAACTCAAAGGAACCCCTGATGTCTTCGTCTGCCTCTGACCATCAGGTGCCACTGGAGGCTCCAGACCAAGGTACTCCTCGACCCTCTCCCTCCAGTTCCCCGACGCTGTGTCACCTGTAACCGGAAATTAAATGGAATCATTAGTAATTGCAAAAAAATTAACAAATGAATACGAAGACTCGTTAGTAATTCCCTGACGCTGTGTCACCTGTGACCGCCTGACCCCGGATAGGAAGACCCAGGATCATGGCGACGTCCTCCAGAGTGACCGTCAGCTCCCCGCACGGTAGGTGGAAGGTGTGTGTCTCTGGACGCCACCGGTCCACTAGGGCCGTCAGAGCAGCGGCGTTGTACAGAGGCACCGGTCGCTGCGCCATGGTCACGAACGCCAAGAGCTGCGCCCGCCGTAGGTACGGGACGTACCGGTCGTCGAACAGTATGTGCGCCGTGTGACCTCTGACTCGAAGGGTCTTCAAGCGCTGCATCAATAGACAAACATAATAACATAAAGTTAGCGACAATATATCATATACAAGGGTTGTGGAAAATACATCATGCAACTAGGAACTTTAATTTTGGGATTGAGCAAGAAAACTGAAAAGAAGATCTGTGTGTTTACATGCTCTGCTTTGAGGCTCCTGAACTTTGATTTGAGTTATCTCTATGATGGATGATCTATCTGTACAAACTAAAATCAAAGAAGAAAAAATAAATTCGATCATAAAAAAATGGAATATTGTTGATGCTAACCTCTCCGCTGGCAATCTGTGGGGCCCGGTGCTTCTCCTCGTAGAAATCCTCCAACCCCGGAAAGTGCTCCATCCTGCAAATGAAAATGGAATCATTAGTAATTGAAAAAATATTAAATGGAACAATCACAATGAGAACGGAAAGGAGGACAACAGAAAGTAAACATTGAAGCAACAATATGAACTTAGCAAATGAATGTCATCCAATCCCACCTGTGTGCTACGATCATCATCGGAGTCGGAAGCGGACTCATCCAATTCATCCTCTGTATCATACTCCAACCAGCCTGGGTTCAATCCACTGCGTATCATAGCCTCCTCACACTCCTCTCGGGTATAGAATTTCAGCCTAGCCAACTCCCTTAGGCCCATACTTACATTCTTAGCATTCGCTTCTTCCTCAGGCAACTCCACATCATCTCCTACCTCCCGACCATCCTCAACATCTCCTTCCTCTCTTACCGGCACATTCTCCTCCACATTAACTTCCTCCCTTAACGGCACATTGTCCTCTGCATGTACTTCTTCCCTTAACGGCACATTCTCCTCTGCATGTACTTCCTCCCTTACCGGGTCATTCTCTTCCCTGACCTCCACATCCGCCATATCATTTACTCCCTCGCCCCCCTCCACGTCTTCCTCAATCAATTCTTCCTTCCTACTACACCTCTCCGACAGTTCGTGACAGCTAATGGGTGATTCTATGAGTTGACTTTCATTAAGGTCTATAAGTTCTTTCTTCCCTATCCTACCATCTTTCTTCCATGCAAACACCTCAAGAGATTTGAAATGTGACCCCAATACTATATCTATATATGTTTGCCATTCGATCTCTCCATTCAAGTCTAACATAAATTTATGTGACATGACACCGCCGCCCACATCGTATCTCCCTTGCACACCAACCGACTCATCATTCCAATCCAATTCATGCTTGATGCGAGACATTAACTCCTCAAAGGTAGGCTTCGCAAAAAACACTAATTGTCTAACTGTCATTCCCTCAAATTGGCTTCCATGTGTACTTTCATCTACCACACAACCACCATAATGAAGCCGGACCAATCTATCCATCTACAATTTTTAACCCATGCATAAACATTAATTACTTGAAAATAATATGTAATTACCATTGCAATACCAATACTTCAAAAGCTAACAACATGTCTAATTTTTCCAATAAATAAGTACATTACTCAAATACTACACATTATTGATAAAAAAAACTCTACTCCTACAAATTACCTACCCTTCACTACACATCAACCCCTTTCAAACCCTCTCAATCACCACAAATCCATCCCACATCCTAGGCCATCACCACACATCCATCTCCCATCAAACCCTAGTGCATCACCAAACATCCATCCCAAATATATTTTGTCAAATGTATCAATAACAACCAAATGGATAAAGATATGCCACCTCCACACTTCATCCCCACCCATATTATCCATCTAATAATCCATCCTTAGCCAACTATTATCAAACCACGTCTACAACCAAAACAATGCAAAATATCCAATAAAACTTTGGGGAACTTAGGGTTTATAGAGGGGTTTACCTTCTCTTCCGATCCCAAACTCAATGCCGCACAAATCACCTTCGATTAGAGAGGTTTTTGGGGGAGATTGGGCGAGGAGAACGCGGTGGCGACCGAACCCTAGGCGGGCGGCTGGGGAAAAAACGGAGGAAGAACTGGCTGGGGCGGCCTCGGCCGGGCTCTAAGTAGCCAAGGTCAGCGCCAACTTACTTGGCGCTGAGGTTGGGCACCTCAGCGCCGAAGCGGTTGGCGCTGAGGTAGCTGCCACGTCAGCTAGGGGATCGGCCCGGCCGCCACGGTGGCACAATGTCAGCGCCAGTCCCGTTGGCGCTGACACGGCCAACCTCAGCGCCAATGCGCTTGGCGCTGAGCCGACGGCCTAGTTTTGGTTGAAGTTTTTGGCAGTGGTTAGTTTCGAATTAAGTTTTTGAAAAGGGTCAATTTGTCAAAAAAACGGGAAACTAATCTCTTCTTCAGGTATTCCTACCAACAAATTCTGCCACTGCCACTGCCACTTGGTTATGAATGTACATCCATCCAAATTATGGTTGTTTAAAACGACATCATCTTTACTATGCGCACATGTCAATCTCTTGGGATTATTTTGCTATGTATAAGATAAATTTGTCGTTGCAACCTGTGATCTGTTCCCAGTACCATCATTTTTTTTTAACGACTCGCACGAGACGGTGCGAAGTTCTATTGATAGAGTAGAAAAAAATTACAAGATTACAATCTGGAGGGTCGTAACCAGGAAAAAGGAAAAATAAACCACCACCCACACCGACGTCGCCAACACACAAGCCCAGGAGAAGGCTAGGACCGGACCGGCCGCCGCTAAGCGTGACCGACCGCCACTAGACCAACAAAGGGACCCAGACGAGATCCTGCAAATCCACGACTGCCGCACCGATGCCCCACCACCACACAAGCTCTACCGACCTGTGGGACCCCTGCACCGGTGTCCCCCGCCGGCTAGCCTTCGAGCGCCGAAGATCGCGCCACACCCACCGGCAGCTCCTCCTCACACCTAGGTCGCCTCCTCCACCGCCGGCCGCGCCTCTCGCGCCAAGCCGGCCTCCTCCACCGGACGCGTCTCTCGCGCCAATCCGGCCTCCCTCCATCGGCCGCGCCTCTTGCGCCAAGCCGGCCTCCATCTCCGCCGCCCGCGCCTCTCGCGCCGAGCCGGCCTCCGCCGCCATCGGCTACGCCTCTCTGCGCCAAGCCGGTCTCCGACCCTCCACCAGACGATGCCGCGCCGACCAAATGTAGCCGTCTCCCACTCCCTCGGCTGTCTGAGGCCGCCATGCCTCCGGTGACCGCGATCACGGCCACCACCACCACAGCCGCTGTTGTTGAACGCCTAGCCACCTCGCCGTCGCTATCCTCACCGCGCACCTCCACTTGCTGCCACCAGCGACCCACATCCGCCGACATCGCCAGCGCCTCCACAGTCACAGCCGCCGCAAGTCAGCCGCTGTCGCCGCTGCCACCAACGCCAGCCACCGCCTCCGCGAACAGCCGCCACTGCCAGCGGCCGCTTCGCTGTCACCGTCCGCCACGTCGCCGCCAAGTCCTCCATCGGCGTCGTTAGCCGACACCGTCGCCGCCAACTGCCGCGACCACCACCGTCGCTGCCGTTGCCAACTGCTGTTACCAGCCGTCGCAAGTCAACCGCCGTCGCCGACTACCACCGCCGGCCACCCTCCAAATCCGGCCAAGAGGCGCAGATCTGAGGGAGACCGCCGCCGTCGCCGCTGAGCACCGCTCCGTCGCCGCGTAGGGACCACCGCAGCCGCCTTCGCGCCCTCTGCCAACGCCATCCCCGCCGCCTGCAAGCACCATCGATCGACGCCTGCAAGCACCATCGGCCGGCGCGCACGCGCCTGCCTTTGCCGTCGCCCTCCCCGCCACTGTTGCTGCCGCCCTCCCCGCCCTCCCCGCTCTCCCCGCCGCCACCCCGCCAGATCCGGCCGGAGCAGCCCGGATCTGGCGGCCACCGCCGCCCCGTCATTGGCGCTCCCCTCCCCGAGTGCCCGCCAAAGAGAGGTCGCCGGCTTCGTCCTTCCCTGCCTCCACCTTCTCCCATGCGCCCAACTCGACGCCGACGCTGATCCGGCCAGCTCCACCTTTAGGTCCGCCCGCGCCGGAACCGGGGGTGGCCGCCGCCGCGAGCCCCGCCGCCGCCGTCCTCGCGAGCCGCCGGCTTTGCCGGCCACTTGCTCAGGCGGCGGCGAGGCAGAGAGGAGGGTGGAGAGGGGCGGCGGCGGCGGCTAGGTTTCGACGCCCGAGTCGCCCACGGGAGACGACGCGGGGGCGTGTTCATTGGATGAGTAATATGTAACCAATCAGACTGATAGACTAATTATCAAGTTTATTTCACACATCTGCGGATTGTAACATATATATACACAGCCGTGGATCCGTGATTAACACTAAATACAGGAAACATTATTCGCAAACACTATATACTTAAACTCCTAATCAACTAAAGTACGCAGTACGTGACACAGTCGGGGAGCTTGCCACTACAGTGAAGCAAGCTCGCTCGCTCACTCGAGCTTGCCCTTGTCTTCTTCCTTGGTGACGGGGACGAGCTCCTCCTCGCCGGCGACGATCCCCTTCGTGTGCTTCGCTATCCCGTACACCGTCGCGCCCACCGCCTCCAGCACGTCGCCCACCACCGTCGTGTCGTCGCCGTCGCCGCCGCCGCCGCTGCCGATGGTGGTGGTCGCCGATGAGTTCTTGCCGGACTCTGCCGCTCGGTTCTTTGCTTCACCTGCTCCGTGCCCTGCCTGAGCGATCGTGTCGCTCGTCTTCTGCGCCATGGCTGCGGCTGCGTCCTTCACTGTGTCCTTGGTCTGCGCCGCCATGGCACCGGCCTTGTGCGCCATGCCTCCCGTTGTGTCGCTCGTCGTGTCTTTGGTTTGTCCGGCCATGTCGCCGGCCTTGTCCGCCGTCCCGGAGCTCGGCTCCTCCGCGCCGTCGGCGGCGCGGGCCGCGGCCTCCTTCCCTTGCTCCGCCTTCTCCCGCGCGTACTCCGCCACCTTGTGCGCGGTGTCGGCGGTCACCTCCTTGGCCTTCTGCGCCACCGTCGCGCCGGTGGAGAGCGTCACGTCCTTGGCCTTCACGGCCGCCTGCTGGGTGTACTCGGCCGTCGTCCTGCCGGCGGCCACCGCGGCGTCCCTGGCCTTCTCCGCGGCCGCCTTGGCGTGCTCCGCCGCCGTCTCGCCGGCGCTGAGCGTGACGTCCTTCCCCTTCACCGCCGCCTGCTTCGCGTACTCGCTGGCCGTCCCGCCGGTGCTCAGCGCGACGTCCTTGGTCTTCTCCGCCGCCGTCCCGCCGGTGCTGAGCGTGACATCCTTCGCCTTCGCGGCGGCCTGTCTGGCGTAGTCGGTGGCCGTCCCCGCGGCCACCTTCGCCTTCTCCGTCGCGGCCTGCGCGGCGTGCGCGCCGGCGTCTTTGGCCTCGGTGCCCTTGGCCGCGGCGTAGTCCGCGGCGCGCGTGGCCGCGGTCGAGCCGGCCTGCTTGGCGCCGTGCGTGGCGCCAGCACTCTTCTCCCGGGCAGCAGCGCCGGCGGCGTCCGGCTCGCCATGCTGCTGCCGCCCCTCGCCGCGGTTCTTGGCGGTCACCCCCTCCTGGCCGCCGGTCTCCGCCTTGCCGCCTCCGTGTCCCTCCTCCGCCGCCTCGTGCTTCTTCCCGTGCTGCGGCGGCGGCGGCGGCTGCTCCTTCTTGCGCTCCACGCACGACACCACGGTGGCGCCGGGCGCCCGCGTCGCGCCGCCGTGCTCCCGGTTAGCCTTGGCGTACCGCTCCTCGGCGTCGCGGATGGCGTCCATCGAGTTCTGCTGCGCCTGGGCGCGATACCTGCCGATCTCCTCCAGCCCCGCCGCCTCCTCCGCCGAGTGCCCTTCCCCTTCCTTCTGCTTCGCCTTCCTCGGCTGCTTCTGCTGCTGCTGCGACGCCATTGTGTCGAGCAGGTGAGCTACGTGAACGAGACAGTGAGAGAGTGATCGGGTCGCTGTACATGATCGGGACAGCGTTGCGGCGGGAGGCTTAAAATATTGGAGCTTAAGCGGTTCGGGTTTGACACGTGTGCACGAGGGGATGACACGTTGGTCAGCGAGGATGTGGGATTCGCCGGCGAGAGGACACGTAGGCTGGCGCCGCCATTTGCCGACGAACCGATGCCGACGCGCCGAGCAGAGAGAGAGCTCGACGGCCCAACTACTTACTTACTCAGGCGGCCCATGAAGCCCATTTACCCTGTCCGATCTCATCTCTTCCCCTCCTCGTCTCGTCGAGAATTCCCCACTTCTCCGTCTCGCCATCGCCGCCGCATCCAAGCCCTAAACCCTCTCCTCTCCTTCTCTCACCCATGGCCGTGGCCACAATTGGCGCCGCAGCAGCCTCCCCATGCCTCCGGCACGTCCACCTGTTAGGGCTTCTGATCGAGGCGCATCCAGGTGTGTAGAGATCTCTGTCGCCGCTCCGCTCCTCGCTGAGGGAGGTATCCGTATCCCTCTTATGCGTGCCTAGAGCGTATGGGGACTCTTGCATTCTCGGGCGGGATCTTGTTTCTAGTGTTGTGATAATCGATGACGTGTGTATTTTTGGACATCCTGCTGCTTTCTGTTTACTCTTTAGCACCGCAGATTTTACTTTTCAAGTCAATAGAGGTGATTAAATAAATTAATTCTGCATACTGCCAAATATATTTATTTTATTGAAGTGTGAAGCGATAAATTACTAGTAGGTCCTTGCAACGGTTGTTTTATTCTCTCTTGATGAAAGGATTAACTTACATGACACAGGCACGCGGCAGTCATTTGGTTGCATTTATTCTCTTTTTCTCATATGCTCATGTATTCTTGTAATGGTTAATTTTTCTTGTTTTGTGGATCCTGTGTGATAGTCTTACAATGAATTTCCGAAATCAGGAAGTAAAGCGAACGAACTGACCTAGGTTATGGTTTTCTCCTGGTATGAAACATAACATGAAGTTAGTTTTGCTGACTTCTTTGGCTTGGCATAGACGTGATATTTCCAGTTTAGGATTGACCATGCTGCTGAGCTCTATGCATAAGTCTATTTGGGTTCTGCCCTTTTGAAGCTGAAAGGCACTGTAGTGTGTAATGATTTTTAAGATCACTCTTATTTCTAAGCAGTAAGAAAAAAAATCATGAAGACAAATGAATGAATTAGTATCTGAATGGAGTCACACATCAAGTTTGACTGGAATGTAGTCACATTATGGTTACACCCTATACTATAATGTTCTAGGGACAACTCCTACGAGTTACCAAAATAAAATAAGCTGAGGCTCTCTAGAAATAGTTAACCTATTTGTGGGAATGCCAGGTGTCAGTATTCTTTGTTGCTGTTATTCATGAGGCTATACCCTATTTACCATGATCTGTAAATGCTATTTTCTCGACTTTATGCTAATATGCATGTATTGCAAGCAAACAATTATTTATTGCAGAGATCAACTAGCCATGCACATATACTAGAAACATGCACGTTTAATTCAAAACAGTGCATTTGTTATTTATGCACTCTCATGACTAAACTATTCTATTAATAAAAACAACTCATGTTTCATATATTGGTCCTGCAAGTAATTGACTATCCCATTTGAGTAGTATGGGAATACCAAAAAAAAAAAAGAAGGTTCCACCGGGATTTGAACCCAGGTTGCCAGATTCAAAGTCTGGAGTGCTAACCACTACACTATGGAACCGGATGTTGTGTTTGGTCTCTTCCTGTTGACATTTCTGTCTTATGTTCCATAAACTCAGTAATGATACAAAATTGTCTTTATCCTTTTTTTAATTGTTTCCATCAGTTATGGCTTCAATGAAACTGTGTTCCTTTTTGAGCATGCATCCAATTAGATACATGCAGAACATGACATTTGTTAAAAAGTTCCATTCATTTAACTTTTTATGGTATAACTTTTTTTGTTGTTTTGTATAATTGTTAAATGCATGACAGTGCATGCTCTCCAATACATAACAGACCTCCGATTTCTGTATAGTCATTTAATGGAATCTTCACAATTAAATCTTGAGTGAAGTTTGATTGCGCTGATGTACACATGTGAACAGAGTGATTATAAGATACGCCAACCACAGTACATAGTCAAATATAATGCACAAAATTAAAATTTGCATTCGTTTTTAAGTTGAAATAGTTGTGAACATGGAGCTGCCTTATGAGGTGGACACATGCCTACAAAATACTTGGATATATGAGTATGTCCCTTATGTGATAGCTACTCTTAAAGTGGTTTAATACTTTTATATACAATGAAAGGGTTGAACCTTACAACATTAACTACTTGTTCTTATTGATATCGTAACCTTGCAGTCGAGAAGTTTCTCTGGGCAAAATTTAAGATGCAAGGAGATATAATGATACTCTTGTCCGATATCACCCTTCAAGTCAAGGTCAAGCTACCTTATACTGACATGATGGTAACAACTTCAGTTACATTTTGTGGTAAGGTTACTAATTCTCAGTTACATTTTACCTATCAACTCATTTGATTGTTTTGTTGTATTAATACAAGATATGGGGGGGTTCATGAAAGCTCATATGTTATTCATATCAACTTATAGAGTGATATCATTTTTATGTCAAAGACTTCTAAAAATTAATATCGCTAGTGACCACAGGCTGTCTGACTGTCAGTTTTGCAAGGGGGAATCAGAAAAACTGACCTTAACTGCATAGAGGGCCCATGATCGTTCTTGTGCTGGGATTAGATGGGCCAGCACTACCTGTGACCAAGCATTCATCCCATTCACCTTACCCTGCCCCATCGTAGTTTCTGGGGTGCTCATTTTAATTCAGTGGTGGTGGTCTGCCATTTTTTGAGCCACCTCTGCTACTGCTTGTCCCTTATCATCACCCTTATTTTCGTCTGTTATTGCTGTCATGTCCTCAATGACACCACTGAAGGCAGTGACTGGTCGAATGTACAAAGGCTGATACATCATTTAACCATTTATTGTCTTCCTGAAGTCTTGCTGTTGAGAGCCTCCTGTCTCTTGTGGAAGTTTTCTGTCTTGGGTAGCCCCTTTGTTTTGCTGCTTTTGTTAATTTGCTTATTTTTCTCTTCTAAATTACTATGCAGTGCTGGGGGTAAACATTTATTTTTTGGTGGATAGAGACCTTTCCATGATTTGACTCATCATCCATCACTTAGTGTGATGTCATGAAATTCTTTTATTTCACTTCTAGACACTTAGAACCTTTTACTTAAATAGTTTTCTTTTCAGAATTTAAGATATTACAAGGTTTTTTTTATGGCATCGTGAGCCCATAAAATTTTTGGTGGGTATGTTACAATGGTAAAAATATATGCTCAAAGCACTTCCCTATATTTCTTCATTTTTTTATGTGTTCATCAAACTCTCAGAGCTGGTAGGCCGGTTGATAGCCTGGGCTGATACATTCCACAAACTATTTTCATCAAATACTATGCATCAGTGTGCACCATATCTCTAGTCTAATATGGTATCCGAGCTTATTGGTTAGTTGCTCTTGTTCCCTCAATCCCGTTTGTCTCCATCCACAACCACACGAGTGCAAAGCCTCACATTCATGTCAACAACAACTCTCATGTCATTAGCAAATCTAGTGTCTAGCATCAACACCTAGGTAGCACTTATTGGTTAAAAAGGGCATTTGCTAGGAAAAATGAGCAACCACTAGTCCACTACACGTTTGGATGCTTGACAATATGTGCGCTTTGGTGCTTGCAATAATAATGTTGTGATGGAAGGTTTGTCACTAAATATTGGTTAGCAAAGTTGCAGTATGGGGAAGACCAATAAGCTCTGATACCATGTTAGATTAGTGATATGCCTCATCCTGATGGTTGTGTTTGAAGGAATATAAACTGGAATATGTGGTGAGAATTCTGCTCATGAGGACGTAGTGTTATGATAGTCGATTACGTGTGGATATTGTACATCGTGCTGCTTTCTGTTTAGTCTTAACACTGTATTTTATTTTGGTAAGTAGAGGTGATTAAATAACTTGTGCAAACTGCCAAATATCATGTTAAAGTGTGAAGCAATAATTAGGTCCTGCCAATGTTTTTTTTTCTCTTGAAAGAATTAACTTACATAACACAACATTCATTTGGTTGCATTTAATTTTTCTCATATGCTCATGTATTCTTGTAATCATTGATTTGCTTATTTTCTGAAACTTGTGTGATAATTGTACAATGAATATTGGATGGATGAAGACAGGAAGTAAAGCAAAATAATTAATATTGGATGGAGGAAGACAGGAAGTAAAGCAAATTAATTGACCTCGGTTATGGTTTTCTCCTGGTATGAAACATAACATGCAATTGATGCTGTGGACTTCCTTCTTTGCTTGGGCATAGACGTGGTATTTTCGGTTTAGGATTTACCATGCTGCTGACTCTTCATAAGTCTATTTTGGTTCTACCCTTGTTGAGCTGAAAGACACCTTTCGTACTGTCCTTTTAAGATCACTTGGTATTTCTAAGAAGTAAGAACTAAAAAAATTTCGAAGAAAAATGAATAGATTAGTATTTGAATGGAGTCACGAATCTGATTTGATTGAATTCAGACACACTTCAGGTTTTCCTTACTAACTTAATGTTCTAGGAACAACTCCGACCAGTTACTAGAATAACACAACCTGAGGCTCTGAAGAAGCTGAGGTTTAGATCGCAGCGATTAATGTAACATATCTATTCTGACTATTCTTGTAAATTTCAAAGCAATTAAACTAAACATTGAATGACACTGTTTTTTTTATATAAACCTATATTTGCAAACACCAGGTGTGAGTTAGTGTTAATCACGAGGCTACCCTTGTTACCATGATCTGTAAGTGCTATTTTCTTGACTTTATGCTAATATGCACATGTTGCAAGCAAATAATTATTTATTGTGTATCTGAAACTAACCATGCACATATACTGGAAACATGCACTTTTAGTTCAAAACAGTGGCATTTGTTATTTATGCACTCTCATGACTAGACTATTCTATTAATAAAAACAACTCATGTTTCATATATTGTCCCTGCAAGTAATCGTTACCATGATCTGTAAGTGCTATTTTCTTGATTTTATGCTAATATGCACATGTTGCAAGCAAATAATTATTTATTGTGTATCTGAAACTAACCATGCACATATACTGGAAACAGGCACTTTTAATTCAAAACAGTGGCATTTGTTATTTATGCACTCTCATGACTCATGACTAGACTATCCTATTAATAAAAACAACTCATGTTTCATATATTGGTCCTGCAAGTAATTGACTATCCCAATCCCATTTGACTTAGTGATTTCAAGTTGTCTAGTTGGGACTAGTCGTAAGGGCACTGACTAGTCGACTAATCGCTGTTAGTCGTGACTAGTCGTAGATTAGTCGGTGACTATAGGCTAGGGGTACCCAGGATAATGTATAGATGTTTATAAGTAGTAATTACCATAGTATACTAGTATAGTATAGTATAAACTAAGGATAATCAGACTCTCACAGTTGACAGTTCACACTTGACAAGGTCTTAAAGTTAAATCATTTATCTGTCCTAGTTGCAATAAGTCCATCTTTCCCCCCTCCCTCTCTTATGATTGGATCTAGATGGCTGGTTAGGGTTAGATGAGGGCTACAGGCTTTCCTGGGCTGGGCGTAAAGCCCAACACATAATTTTTAGCCCTAACAGACTAGTCGTCCATGACTAATTTGATGGACTAGTCGTGATTAGTCGGACAATAAGTTTTCTGATCGAACTAATTGCTTCGAAGTTCCTGATTGAGGTTATGGTAGCGATAAGGATGACTAATCGGATAACTTGAAAACATGATTTGAGGATTATGGGAAATACCTAAAAAAAAGAAGGTCCCACCGGGATTTGAACCCAGGTTGCCAGATTCAAAGTCTGGAGTGCTAACCACTACACTATGGAACCGGATATTGTATGTGGTCCCTTCCCGTGGACATTTCTGTCTTATATTCCATAAACTCCATAAATAGTTAAAAAAAGTCTTTTGATTTATTTTTTCGTGTGCTTTTTTCCATCTCTTTGGTTTCAGCAAAACTGTTTTGCTTTTTGAGAATGCATCCAATTAGTACATGCAGAATATGACCTTTATTAAAAAGTTCCTTTCATTTGAATATTACTCGTATTGTATATCTTTTTGGTTATTTTGTATAATTATAGGTGCACATTACTTTTGACTGTGCATGCTCTCTGAGACATAACATTGACCTCTGATTTCTGTAATAACCATTTGATGGAATCTTCAAAATTAAATCTTAAGTAAAGTTTGATTGTGTACGCATGGGAACATAGTGATCTTAAAATATTTCAACCACAGCACACAGTCAAATTTAACACATGAAATTAAAATTTGCATTTAATGTTAGTTGAAATAATTGTTAACATGGAGCTGCGGGTGAGGGAGCACGAAATTTTCATTGATATTGAGGGGCAGATTCACTGCTACCACCATTACCAACATTTGAAGTAGTACAGCTAAAAACTGCTGAAGGTACCTATTTTGTCTTTTTTTTTTTCATGTGTTCATCTAACTCTCAGAGCTGGTACTTATACATTCCATGAGATATCTTTATCAAATACTATGCATTAGTGTGCGCCATATCTTTTGTCTCACATGGTATCTGAGCTTATTGATTAGTTGCTCTTGTTCCCTCAATTCGACTGTCTCCATCCACAACAACGAGTGTAAAGACCCCATTCATGTCAATAGCAAATCTAGTGTCAGGCATCAACACCTAGATAGCATATTGGTTAGAAAAGAGCATTTGCTAGGAGTAATGAGCAATCACTACACGTGTATTGGATATTTGGATGCTCGATGATCAAAAGTGCTAGGAATGTGGGTTTTGATGCTTGCAAATGTGGTGATGGAAGGTTTGTAGTTAAATATAGGTTAAAGAAGTTGCAGTTGGGGGAAAACCAATAGGCTCTGATACCATGTGAGGTTTGTGATATGCCTCATCCTGATGACTGTTTTTGATGGAATGGTAGGTTTTGCCATTGCGCATTTGTTATATTTGCTGACAGATTCTGGAATACTTATTGTTGTGCTCCTTGCCATCATGCCATGAAACCAATCTAAATAGTTCTGCCTGGCACAAGTTACCCTTTTTTTTTGGTCAATGAAGTTAGGTCCGGATGGTATTGGTAATATTACAATGATCAGTTTGATACAACAATTTATGCAAATATTAAGCGATTCAGCTCATGGTGATGTATTTATGCATTTTTATCTGAATTTTGTTGATGCATTGTATTTCATTATGTAAATGCAATGTATCTGAATTAAGTTGAGTTTTAATTTGTAGAGGACATATGTTGAATAACATTAGACTGACAATCTGTCATTTTTAAGATAACATTTTGTTGGTAGATTGCATTTTACTTTGTTAACACTAGTTACAGTTCACATTTTAATTTATGGAAAATTATTTGTGTAATAACTAGTTGTAGAACAATTTTGTGCTGTTTAATTCTAAACCTATATGTGGGAATGCCATTGTAAATATTCAGGGTTGGTGTTATACATGATGCTGCACTTGTTACCATGACTAAAGTGGTATTTTCTCTTGAGTTGTATGCTCAAAAGCAGTTGCTGCAACCTGCAAGCAAATGATTATTTGTAGTTTAGTTGCATTGCAGATCTGTCTTAACCGTGCATAGACTTGATTACTTGAACATGCATGCATTATAACAAAAAACTCATACAGCATGTATTGGCCCTACAACTCTACAAGCAGTTCACTACACAAATCCCATTTGAGGAGGATGGCAATACCCAAAAAAGAGAGGTCCCACCGGGATTTGAACCCAGTTTGCTAGATTCAAAGTCTGGAGTGCTAACCACTACACTATGGAACCGGATGTTATATATTATCCCTTGATGATGACATTTATGCCTTAAAAGCTGTGTTATTCCCTTGTTTGTTTCCATCAGTTTGGTTTCAGTGAAACTGTGTTCCTTTTGGGCATGCATCCAATTGGCTTCCATGTAGAATATGGCGTTGGCTAAAAAGGACCTTTTCATTGAAGCATATGCATGTTTTTGTCTGCTTGTAGGAGAGAGAAGAAGAACTCTCAGTTGTTACTATACAAGTGAAAATTCCGAGTTTATAGGAAACCATCAAGTTGATACTGATCTTAAAACTTATATAAATAAATATGGCTAGATTACTGAGATGTGTAGTGGGCGTTGATGGATGACCAAGAGCCCAAGACTATTCTTACATAGTGTGAAGTAGTACACTTCTTTTTATTTCAGTCATGATCTGTGTCATGCATATGCTCCTAATACCAGCATAGGCTTTAGACCTTTTTAGGTCTGTTTTGTCTGTTCAAACACTTGACTGCCTGTTTTTGTATGCCATGGGATACTTATCAAATACAATGTATTAGCGTGTGCATGTTTTTCCGTCTTCATGATATTAGAGTTTATTGGCTAATTGCTGTTGTTCTATCTAACCATTTTTCCTCCGTATGCAATCATGAGCAGGAAGGCTTACATTCAAGCCAAAAATGTTACCATCTAGCATCAAAACACAACTGCCATCTCTTTGGTGGAACACTCTTGATGTGGCTCTTCAGGGTAATTAGATGCTTTAATACCAAGAGTGATATGTATGCGATTTTTTATGCTGGTGATGCTAATGGTGTGATGGAAGGTTTGTCAGTAAGGTTGTGGGCTGGAGAAGTTGAGATAGTGAGAAGATCAATAGACTCTGATACCATGAAAGCAGTTATGCCACATGTTGATGCACTGCATTAAACTCTTGCGTGTGAACAAAACTACTATATTTCCTGAATCGTGTATTTGCCCTGCAATCAATTGACTATGCAGATCCCATTTGAGGAGTATGGCAATACCCAAAAAAGAGGTCCCACCGGGATTTGAACCCAGGTTGCCAGATTCAAAGTCTGGAGTGCTAACCACTACACTATGGAACCAGGTGTTGTACGTGGTCCCTTGCTTATGGCATGTCTTATATTCCATAAACACAGTAAAAGGCTGGAAATTTTGTCTATTTTCCTTTTATCTTTTTGTGTTTGTTTCCATCAGTTTGGTTTTAGTGAAATTGTTTGCCTTTTTAAGCATGCATCCAATTAGCGTACATGCAGAATTTATCATTTGTTAAAAGGTTCCATTCATTTAAATCTTTTTGGTGCTTTGTGTAATTACTAAATATATTTCTTTTGACAGTACATGCTCTCCAAGAGATAATGTTAACCTCTGATTTCTGTAGTAGTAGTCTAATGGAATCTACAAATTAAATCTCGAAGAAGTTTTATCATACTGATGTACGTTTGTGAACAGAGTGATTATATCATTGGTAGAATGCAGCGTATAGTCAAACCAAATGCTACAAATTAAATTTTGGATTTAATCTTAGGTTGAAATAGTTGTAAACATGGAGCAGGCTAATGAGGTCTGAACACATGCACATGCACATGCCCACAAAATACAGTGGGCATGTCCCTTATGTAGTAGCTACTTTAAAAATGGATGAATACTTTATTTACAGCTCAATGGTTGTACCTGACAACATTGATTACTTGGTCTAATTGATACAAGTAATATACTATTCTCGCTGAAATTTACTTGATGCCTCAAAGATTGCTCTGTAACACATTATGTGTTTTCTCTGGTTGTAGGTGAGATAAGACCACAGAGCCAGTCATCGCTATGTCTGAAAGCATATAGACTATTTCCCAGCTGTTTACACCCCGGCAAAACAATGTTCAATCTTATAAGGTAACTGCACACTTGACCATCTTCTCCATGCAAATTTTAAGATCAAGTAAAAGTATAATGTGGATTATCACAATTCTTTATTAGCAAGAAAACAAAAACAAGTCTTCTTTAACTCTTGTCATTGTTTAGTTATCTTTTGACAATTTAGTGCTCTGATATTTACTCAAACCTTCTGGACCTTGTTATTGAACTATGCTCAATGATAAAATACTCCCAAGTCCATCCTGAAATTCAGAATCTGCTTTCATATAAAAAAAGAAGCTCACAGCCTCCTCCTGCCTTTAAACAGTAAACGATGAAAAAAGCAGAAGGATCAAAACTCACAACCACTGCTGTTTATCTTGTATTTTGAGAAAAAAGAGCAATAACACTACTACTGACAGGTCAATCTGTCAGCTGCTCGGTACTCTTATAACATCCACAGTAGCAGACTAGAAGTACTCTTATATTATATTTATAACAGCTCATGTTTGATATATTGATCCTGCAAGTATTTGACTATCTCGATCCCATTTGAGGAGTACGGGAATACCTAAAAAAAAACAAAGAAGGTTCCACCGGGATTTGAACCCAGGTTGCCAGATTCAAAGTCTGGAGTGCTAACCACTACACTATGGAACCGGATGTTGTATGTGGTCCCTTGCAGATGATATTTCTGTCTTATATTCCATAAACACAGTGAAAAGCTGGAAATTTTGTCCATGTCCTTTTGAACTCTTTTTGTTTGTTTCCATCAGTTTAGTTTCAGTGAAACTGTTTCCTTTGAGCATGCATCCAATTAGCATACATGTAACATTTGGTAAAAGGTAAATATTTGTTTGGATCATTTGCTACAACATTTTAGCACTCCGTATAATTATTAAAAGTAATTTTTGACTGTGTATGCTCAGAGAGAGAGAGAGAGAGAGAGTCATCTAATAGAATTTGCAAAATTAAATATTCCAAAGTTTGATTGCGCTGATGTATGTTTGTGAGCAGAGGGATTATGTCATAGTGGGATGCAGTGCATAGTAATCTAATGGTATGTTGAAATAATCTAATGAGGTGAACACATGCACAGAAAATACTGTGGGCATGTCATGTTTAACCTTCTTAGGTAGCTACTTGACAAGCTTCTCCATGCAAATTATAAGATTTGAGTGAAAAATATAATGTGGCTTATAACTGTTTGTTAGCAAGAAAAGAAAAAGAAACATGCGTTGTCTAACTCTTTCCATTAGCTATCTTTTGACAATTTAGTGCTCGTTCACTGATAAAATACTCCCAACTTTATCCTGAAGTTTTGTTGTCTTCTCATTGTATTGGAAGCTCCAGCCTATTTTCGTCATTTATGTTTTATCTGTTCAACAGACTGTTAGACTGCTTTTTAATGTATTCCATGGGATATTTTATCAAATACAACGCGTTAGTGTTTGCCATGTTTTTCTGCTTCATAGTATTACTAGCCAAGAGCCCACGTGTTGCAATGGAAAATAAAAGGTTTCTAGCTTATTAAGTCAATTAAGCACATATTTAGTCCAAGTACCGCTTTTATGATTTTCCTTATTGAACAAATAGGTGATTTCAAAATTTAATGTCAGTGCTAGGGGTGGTGTGACAGAACAACCACCACCACTACTAACATTTTACGTAGCATAGATAATTCATTGGTTAATTTCTTTTGTTCTCTCTTATCCTTTTTTTCCCTCCATCTGCAATCATCAGTGTGAAAGCCTACATTCACACCAGAAATATCGTTACCATCTAGCTTGAAACCACAAGTGTCTTGTCTGGAATATAAAGAGTGCTATGTATATGATTTTTGATTTTTTTTTATGTTGGTGATGGTAATAGTGTTGATGGATGGTTTGTCACTAAAGATTGCTGTTTGGAGATGTTGAGATAGTGAGAAGATTAAATGATCAATAGGCTCAGATGCCCCTAAAGCAGGGAGATATGCCACATGTTGATGCACAGTATTAAACAAGAACATGGTGAACAAAACTATTATATTTATAGCAACTCATGAATCGTGTATTGGCCCTGCAAGCAATTGGCTATGTAGACCCCATTTGAGGACTATGGCAATACCAAAAAAGAGGTTCCACCGGGATTTGAACCCAGGTTGCCAGATTCAAAGTCTGGAGTGCTAACCACTACACTATGGAACCAGATGTTGTATTTGGTCCCTTTCTGATGACATTTCTATCTTATATTCCAAAAAAGGTAAAGGCAGGAAATTTGTCTATGTCCTTTTTTATCTTTTCTTTTTTTGTTTGTTTCCATCAGTTTGGTGTCAGTGAAATTGTTCTCCTCTTTGAGAACCATTCATCCATTTGGCATACACGTAGACTGACATTTCTTAAGAAGTTCTATTCATTTAAATCTTTTTGTAGAACTTTTTGGCACTTCGTAGAATTACTAAATGCGACTTCTGATGGTACATGCACTCCAACAGATAATATTCACCCCTGATTTCTGTAATAATCATCTTACAGATGCTTCAAAGTTAAATCTTCGGAGAAGTTTCATTGCACTAATTAACAGAGTGATTATATCATATGTGAATGCAACGAATAGTCAAATCTAATGCTATGAATTAAACTTTGGATTTAATCTTAGGTTTAAGTAATTGTGAACTTGGCGCAGCCTAATTAGAGAACACATGCTCACAAAATACTGTGGGCATGCCCTATGCAGTGGCTACTTTAAAATTCGATGGATATTTTATTTTATATATACAACTCAAGGGTTGTACCTAGCAATATAGATTACTTCTAATTATAACGTGATATACTATTATCTTGGAAATTTAACTGATGTCTCACAGAATGCTCTGTGACAAATTGTGTTTTTTCTTCTGGTTGTAGGTGAGATAAGGCCACAGATCCAGCTATCACTATGTCCACAAACATGTGCGAATCCCCAGTTGTTTACTGCACAAATTCACCCCAACAAAACCATGTTTAACCTTGTCAGGTAACTGCTTACCTGACCATCTTGCACGTGCAAATTTTAAGATTAAATTAAAAATTATAATGTGGTTTATTTTAGTTCTTTGTTAGCAAGAAAAAAGCATGTCATCTAACTGTCACCATTGCTTAGTTATCTATTGACAATTTAGTGCCCTGATATTTACACTACCTGTTCCAGCTCTTGCTATTATGTTCACTGAAAATACTGTCAACTCCATCCTGAAATTCCGTCCTTCTTTTCATTGTATCAGAATCTGCTTTCATATAAAAAAAGTTCAAAGCCTCCTCTGGCCTTTAAACAGTAGACATTGAAAAACACACAAGGACCAAAACCCACCACCACTTTTGTTTGTCTTTAGGGGTGGGCATAAAAAACCGAGACCGAAGTACCCGAAATGTCGGTCATCGGTTCATAGTTCGGTCAGAGAAGTGCAAAGACTGATCTTTTTTTTTCACTTGTTCGTTTATCTTGCTTGAGTACCCGATGTGACTGAACTCCATAAAAGCACAGGGTCAGGCCGAGTGACCCAATAGTCCAATAGCCCATTTTTCATGGCCTAAGCTTGTCAGCCCAAAATCAATTTCTAATCAAAAGTCAAGTCCCCACTCTACCACAACCCTAGCTGTCATCTATGGTCCATGAGCTTCACCTGCGCTCGTCTCCATCATTTGTCGTCCCACTGTGGAACTGCCTGCCGCGCGGCCGCCTGCCCCGTGCGCCCGACCGCCACCACCACCACCCGCCGCCGCTGCCCATTGCAGGCCGCCACCAAGCCACCCGTCGCCGCCTGCTGCTTGCCACCACGTACCGCATCTTGATCTGTTGGCCAGAAGAATGAGGAGCAGATGATGTATTGATCTGTGAGTTCTAGTTATGGGGTTTTTCTTTGCATCTTGCTAGGATTTTCTTTAGATTGATCTTCTTGATTTTCTTTTCCCGATCGATACTGACTGCCTGCATGCCATCCTGCACGCCACAGAGAGGATTGGTCTTCTCGGTCCGACTGAAGACCGAGACCGAATTTTCGGTTAACCAAACTGTCGGTCTAGAAATCTATGCTAGTGTGTTCGCTTTCCAATTTTGAAAGAACTAACCAGACCGAATTTTCGGTCTAGACCGAATGCCCACCTCTATTTGTCTTGTATTTTGAGGAAAAAGAGCAATACCACTTGGCCTATCAGTTTGGAGTACCACAGTAGCAGTACTCGTATATTATATTGATTACAGCTGAATCATGTATTGGCCCTGCAAACAATTGGCTATGCAATACCCCAAAAAAGGTCCCACAGGGATTTGAACCCAGGTTGCCAGATTCAAAGTCTGGAGTGCTAACCACTACACTATGGGACCAGATGTTGTATGCGGTCGCTTGCAGATAGCATTTCTGTCTTATATTCCATAAGCACAGTAAAAAGCAGGAAATTTTGTCTATTTCCTTTTTAGCTTTTTTTTGTTTGTTATTGTCAGTTTGGTTTCAGTGAAATTGTTTTCTTTGAGCATGCATCCAATTAGCATACGTGAAGACTATACATTTGGTAAAACGTAATATTCATTTGAAACGCTTACTAGAACTTTTTAGCACTTTGTATAATTATTAAGTGTAATTTTTGACAGTGTATGCTTTTCCAAGAGAATGAGAGATAATGTTCACCACTGATTTCCTTAATATCTTGTGAAGTTTGATTGCACCTGATGTACGTTTGTGAGTAGAGTGATTATGTCATAGTAGAATGCAGCGTATACTAATATAATTAAACTTTGGATTTAATCATGTGTTGACAAAATTGTGAATATAGAGCAATCTAATGAGGCTAGCACGTATACTGTGGGCATGTCCCTTGTGTAGTACTGTAGCTCCTTTCAAAATGGATGAATATTTTGTTTTATATACAACTCAAGGGTTGTACCTGACAATATTGATTGCTTGTTCTAATTGATATTGTGATATATTATTCTCGCTGAAATTTAATGTCTGAAATAATGCTGTGTGACACATTGTGTGTTTTCTTCTGGTTGCAAGCGAGGTAGGCCACAAAACTAGCCCTCACCATGTTTGCAAGCATGTGAGAATTTCTAGTATTTTACTCCACAAGTTCACCCGCAACAATAACATGTTTAACTGTTTACTTGGCAATCTTCTCCATGCAAATTTTAAGATTAAGTGAAAAATATATCGTGTCTTATTGTAACTCTTTGTTAGAAAGAAAAGAAAGAAACATGCCTTGTTTAACTCTTGCCATTGTTGAGCTATCTTTTGACAATTTAATGCTTGTTCACTGATAAAATACTCCCAACTTCATCCTGAAATTTTCTTGTCTTTTCATTGTATAGGAAGCTCTGCTGCTCCAGCCTATTTTCCTTGTTTCTGTTTTGCCTGTTCAACAAACTCTTAGGCCCTGTTTGGGGGAGCTTATCCCAGCTGCAGCTTTTCCCAAAAGCTGCTTCTGCTAGAAGCTGCTCCAAACAGTCCACAGCTTTTGAGAATCTGTAGTTATAGATTCTGAAAAATGAACTAAGAAGTCAGAAGCTGGAGAAGCTGGGTTTCAGAGCTTTTCCAGATTCTCAGAAGCTGGCTACCAAACAGCTGCTTCTCAGAATCTAAAGCTCCCCCAAACAGGCCCTTAGACTGTGTTTTTATGTATTCCATGCGATATTTTATCAAATGCTGTGTGTTAGTGTCAGCCATGGTTTTCTGCTTCCATGGTATTATAGTGTATTGACTAATTTCTCTTATTCTCCCTATCCTTCTTTGCCTCCATCTGCAATCATGAGTTTAAAAGCCTATGTTCACCCCAAAATTGTCATTACCATCTAGCATGAAACCACAACTCTTAACTGGAAAATAGCTTGTTGAAGGCCAAGAGTACCAATGTCTGATTTATTGGTGATGGTAATGGTGTTGATGGAAGGTTTGTCACTAAAGGTTGCTGTTTGGAGAAGTTGAGATACTGAGAAGATCAAATGATCAATAGGTTCTGATACCATTAAAGTGGCCAGATATGCCACATGTTGATGCACCGCATTAAACAAAAACATGGTGAACAAAACTATTATATGTATAACAACGCATGAATCATGTATTCGCCCTGCAAGCAATTGGCTATATAGATCCCATTTGAGGACTATGGCAATACCAAAAAAGAGGTCCCACCGGGATTCGAACCCAGGTTGCCAGATTCAAAGTCTGGAGTGCTAACCACTACACTATGGAACCAGATGTTGTATTTGGTCCCTTGCTGATGACATTTCTGTCATTCCAAAAAAAAGCAAAAGGCAGGAAATTTGTCTACGTCCTTTTTTATCTTCTCCTTTTTGTTTATTTCCATCAGTTTGGTTTTAGTGAACTCTTTGAGCACCATTCATCCATTTGGTATACATGTAGACTGGCAATTCTATTCATTTAAATCTTTTTGGTATAACTTTTTGGCACTTTGTATAATTACTAAATGTGTGTTTTGGTGGTATGTGCTCTTCAACAGATTCTTCAAAATTGATTGCACTAATGAAGGGAGTGATTTGATCATACGTGGAATGCAATGAGTAGTCAAACCTAATGCTATGAATTAAACTTTGGATTTAATCCTAGGTTGAAATAATAATGGACATGGTACAGCCTTATTAGAGAACACATGCCCACAAAATATTGTGGGCATGCCCTATGTAGTAGAAACTTTAAAAATGGATGGATAGTTTATTTTATATACAACTCAAAATGGATGGATATTTTATTTTATATACAACTCAAGGGTGGTACTTGACAATATAGATTATTTGTTCTAATTATAACGTGATATACTATTATCTCTAAAATTTAACTGATGTCTCAAAGAATGCTCTATGACAAATTGTGTATTTTCTTCTGGTTGTAGGTGAGATAAGACTGCATAGCCAGCCATCGCAATGTCCGCAACATGTGAGAAACTGAGAATTCCCTGTTGTTTACCTCACAAGTTCAGCCCATGAAAATCATGGTCATCCTTGTTAGGTAATTGCTTACTTGACCATCCTCTCCGTGCAAATTTTAAGATTGAGTTAAAAACTATAATGTGGTTTATTATAATTCTTTGTTAGCAAGAAAAGAAAGTCTCATCTAACTGTCGCCATTGTTTAATTATGTATCGACAATTTAGTTCCCTGATATTTACACTATACCAGCTCTTGCTATTACGTTCACTGATAAAATACTCTACAATCCACACTGAAACTCTCTTTTTGTTTTCAGTGTATCAGAAACTCCTTTTCATATTCCAAGGGGTTCACAGTAAACGGTGGAAAAACACAAGGATCAGAACTCAGAACCGCTGCTGTTTGCATTCGGACTTTCAATTTGGAGTAACAGTGTACCTTGCAGGAGCAAAATTGATGCTTCACTGATGCAGCAGCCTCCCTGGAGTTTTGATCGTGGTGTTGTAGACTAAATGGTAGGGCGCATGAGAATATGGGGTGTGGCATGTATGAGGCCTTGTGAAATATGGCTGAGTGAGCCGATGTGTTAGTGCCGTCTTTTAGTTGGCAACATTCTGAGTGAAAATAGCCTATAGAACGTTGCTAGTATATGTTCTTGATAATTGCCTGATACATTGTTCTTGTACTTGTATGCTACTATGCTAGTGCATATCACTTGTCAAATCCATGGAATTTCTTTCCAGTGGAGACTGCACAATGAAGTTCCAATGTTTTTTTCTTAAAATTCATCTGATGTGCCCTTGTCCATAATTTATTCAGCTCCAGTATATGTTGAGTCCCATGATCATGTTAGTCTGATTGAGATGGAGGCCAACAAGCCCATATGTGGTAATGTTATCCTGCTATGGATCCACGTCATGAGTCATGACCAACCGAGGATGAAACGAATTAAGGAATAACTCTATCATGCCTCGCTTTTCTCTTTGCTCCTGGAAGAGAGACGGGGAAGAAGATGAGAAGCGAAGAAAGTCTTTACCACGTGGGTTTCATCTGCTGACTCAATGGGTCAATCATGGTCAAACTGTTATATCGGTAGAAACCGCTTCTAAAACCACTTTCTAAAACCACCGAGCGTGAAGGAGGGATTGGAGGAGATTAAAAGGGATTAATTCCATACCTGAATAGGTGTGGAATTATTCCCCTCCCATCCTCTCAATCCCCTTGTTGGTGGGATTAAGTGAACATGGTCAGAAGGGTTTTCAAAGATGGGAAAAGCGTTATACCCTTGAGTTAGAGATGAGGGAGGAAAAACAGACTTACTCTGAGTAAAAGGTGCACCGACGTTAATGGGCCGGCCAACTATCGCACGGGCTTGGGCCGTTTCTGCTTCCGATTAGGAGTTAAGGTGCGTTGCTGCGTGTCCATATACTTGGGTTTTCACTAATATTTCGTCCCCTGCTGAAGCGGAACTGAAGAAGAAGAACCACCGCCGTGGAGACGTAGGCGCAGCGCTCCCGATTCCGCCGCCGCCGTCGCCGTAGCCGTCGCCGCCGCTGCCGCGCCGCGGTGTCGACGAAGGAGCCCTCCGCTTGCGGCCGCTTGGGTGGTCGGATCTAACATCTAGGGTATGTACCTTGAATCCTGGATTTCCCTGCTCCGATTTCATCTTCTTGGCGTCTTCATCTCTGGGACGAACCCTTGTTTTCTGTATATATGTATATAATAATAGTCAGCCCGCAATCGTTTCTGTGTTAATTAGCTGGGGGCCAGAATTTGGTTGGATTACTACTATTAGTCCTGATGTGAAGGTATTATTATATACGTCAATCTTTTGCTGCTGCTGCTGCTGCTAATATTTGGTTTCGTGCTGCTTCGTTAATCGTATTTTGTTTTACTTTTTCGCCAATCATTGAGTTTATAATCCTTGTAGCTATTGAGTTTAATATCAGGCCGAAATCTTGCTGCTGGATAGGATGGCAGATTGTCCTTTCCTGAATTTCTTAATGGAATAGTAATCCTTAATCACGGTGCAATCTTGATAGTTTAGGCAACAGTAGATAAACTAGGATACTCACCAAAATTAGGGAATTGGTACTAATTATATATCTTTTATCTAATTGTAACCGGGCTATGCTACTCTGGGTGCTGCATCTTCTTCGCGTGTGCGCCACCCGTATCTACTCCCATAGCGCTGGTCCATAACAAGTGAGCACATTGTGATCATGTTTGCCTTTCCAATACTGAATACAGTTGTGTTCTTCATTTATGAGTAATTACTATTCACTGCAACCTATAGAAACGGTATTTTCTTTTTGAATTGAAAAGTCACTATTTATGTTTGCACATAAATGAATATCTCAACAGCAACATTGCAAAGCTTGGACTTTATTTATGTTTGCACATTACCAAGCACTGTAGAAACACCACTTGTGTCTTAACTGTTACTAATGCAGGGGTGAGCAAATCAACCAGGAGATGGAAACCATCCAGGCGCTAGAATTGGGAGTTGAACAGAAAAAGTCAGAACCAGAGGTTGATGAGATGCCAGGATCCATGGAGGATCAAAAGCCTGCGGAAATAAGCCAGGACAAAGTCGCGGAAACTGATATTAAACCAGCAGTACAAACTGAGCTGGAGACAAGTCCAGTGGCTAATCCAAACCCTGCAGAAACAAACCAGTACACAGATGGGGTAACTTATGGTGACCTAGAAACCACTGATCCAGGCACTACTTACCGCTGCAAAAGATGTCGCACACTCGTCGCTACTGAAGGCTATGTTGTTACCCACAAAGTTGGTCGTGGTGAGAAGTGCTTCGCGACGCGCAAAAAGTATCATGTGGATGAGAAGGAACCCGAATGTACCTGCCTCTTTGTGGAGCCCTTGAAGTGGATGCAACCTGGTTAGTTACCTACCTTGGATGCTGTAATGTTTTTTTTTCTTTCTTTTTTGGTGTTGTGTGTGTCTGATATATTTTAGAGTTAATTTTAATGTTTTTTCTTCATCATAGTTTATTTATCAACATTGGTTTTTAAGTCGCTCAGAACACGCACAAATTATTTTAGGACTAATAATGAACCACTCTGCTCACAAACGTATTTTCTGCTAGTTTGGTGTTGTGCGTCTGATATATTTTCTTCTAATAAAATGTATTATGCATTGCAGTGGTGGAAGGATATATTTCAGGGAAGATCGCGTGCAGGAAATGCAACAGCCGATTGGGACAATTCCACTGGGCAGGAATGCAGTGCAGCTGCGGAGCCTGGGTGAATCCAGCTTTCCAGCTGGTCAAGAGCAAGATTGATCAGTGTGAGATGTGATCAGTCGGGTGACTCAACTTCAACTTCATTATCAGTGACATCGCAATCATACCCAGCTGTAGGAAACATTATTATTTCCTTCTGAAGCTTCTATAGGCACTCTGGTAGTAAGTTTTGCTGTCTACTAAATGTAAGTCTTTGCAGTCCGCACCATTCAGATTCAGTGTTTCCTTAGTTGCATCATCTTGATGAAAATAATGGGAACATATCAGGCAAGAAATTTTCTTTACATTTCTGAAGTAAACGAACTTCACACTGCATTACGATTGCAAACACTTGCATGTGATTTAAGGGAAGAGCAGAACCTCTTGTCAAAGGTGACAAGAACATATCTGAGGATATTGAGGCGGTGGTGCGTGTGTGGTGGTGTATGCGCCTGTCTGTTTTTCATGTAATTGTGAAAAACAGATTGTCCTGAGTAGCTAAATCTCATTTTCTATAAATCTCAAATGAAAGAAGTGCACGTGTCTGCGACTCCAAAATTGTGTGGCCTACACATGAAACGAAGAAATATACATAGAATTTCAAAAGGCAATAAGTCAGCTGGGCTCATTAAGGCTCGACTCATTTGAGTTCATTATCTTGATAAGATAGCTCGGCTCGGCTCGTGAGTTGGCTCGTTAGTAAACTTGATTGGCTACTTAATGACCTGTATCCCATTTTATCACTTTAAGAACGAGATTTGGAGATCTTTCTAATTTCAAAAACGAGATTTGGAGGAAGAGACGTCCCTTCAAATATTTTTTATAAAGAAATTATGAGTGTATTTAGGATTGATCACGGAACTTAAGGGTTGAAATCACACACCTCTTACCACTGCACTAAAATAGAGAAAATCTCGCGTATCTCAGTTTATATCTAGCTCCATAATCCTCTGACTCATCGGCTACAATATTCATATTCATGATTGAACGGGAATTACATGGCCTGATTGCAACCAAACATAGGGTACAACGAGGCATGGAGCAATATACAGAGAATTTCAGGAAAGAGAGAGAGAGAGAGAGAGAGCATCCAAAACTAACGGCTTAGCTCATCGCCGGCCGCCGCCGCCGTGGCACCCTCCTCCGCCCGCGGCGACATCGACGCACAGCATATCGGCGAGGTCGCAAGTCTCGTACAGCATCATCATCTCAATCTCATCCATCCACGGCGCCGGCGCCGCCGGCAGCCCCACCCCCACCGTCGCCTCGGCTCCCCTCCACCCGTCGACCCCCCGCCGGCACGGCCGCGGCCTCTCGAGCGACGGCGCGGTCGCAACGGCTGCGTCGTTGCCGGTGAGGCGCTGCACGAGCGACTTGAACCCGGCGGCGTCGGAGGTGACGAACTGCGTCTCGATGAAGGTCACCTTCACGCCGCCATTGCCATTGCAACCCCTCTCCATGGAATCGAATCCGATCGACCGATGAGATCAGCTCGATCAGTTGCGACCCTTTCCCCTTTTCTTCTCGATTCGATTCGAATCGACGAAAAGCTCTCTCAACTCAAGGTTGCTGGTGACGAAATCTTCCCGTGCCGATGGGGTTTTTATACAGAGCGCGCGGCGGCGGCGGCGCGAATGCAATACATACGGCACAGATGCCTGCACTATCCGAATGACATGTGGGGTCCAGGTTAGGTGGGGCCCACGTGGAGGTGAGGGTGTGGGTTTTTCGCTGGATGTGTGACTGGTGGGTTGAAGCTTTAGCATTAGCGACAAGGTTTGACTGGTCGTATCCAGTGAGTGACTGGGTTGGTGGTCAGTGACGGACAACGGTCAACCTTTCTGGGAACGGTCAAGGCTCACTCCCTGCCTCGTGCGAGGAGGAGGTTCACTGTATCCTTATCCTATTCTTCTCTGCGTTCTCGGCGGCTTCGCACCGATCCGGTAAGAGCAACGGTAATTAATGTCGTTACTCCTCCGTTTTAGTTATTTGACTAAATTTATAGGTAAATATAATAATAAATTTATAAAATGATACTATTTTTTTCTACAAATTTAACCAAATTTAAAACAGTTTGACTTTTGACCAAAGTAAAAACGTCTTAAAACCTGAAACGGATGGAGTAATTTTTATAGGTATGTATAACTGTTTACCTTATTTAAAATTATTGTATAAATATATAAGTTATAAATACGATTGAATTGTTTTTAATGATAAAACAACTTATAATGAATAATCAGACATATGTCGAAAAGTCAAAGACCGTCGCTTATTAAAGAAACGGAAAAGAGAATTTCCTGTGCTTGGCTCAGCTACCGATTACTATAATCCTTTGTGCAATTTCATTTATTATAATTGTAAGTACATTTTTTTCTTGTCTTGTTAGCAAGAGTCGAACAATATAAGTGGCGAAGAGGATGCGGGAAAGAAGACCACCTGCTCCTGCTACCAAGCATTAGTCTTGAAAAAAATTTGATAAAAAAGTTATCTTCAGACTTCGGTCTCAGTTTCTGTCTGATCCTTCTCCACCGAGCGGTTTTCACAAAAATTGATCGATTTTCACGAAACCAGTAGTGTCAATTTTAGTTGGTATTTTTACGATGTTGACTGAAAGCTATTAGTTTTTATCGGTTTTAGGTCGGTATACAATAAACCGGTCAAGGATGGTTTTAATATTAAATACGGAAAGGTAAAACCTGCCTTCACCTCCAGGCTCCACATTATAGCTGGAGGTGATGAGGGAGAGGACCCATCTCCCTTTCGTATTTACTAGTATTTAGAGTTTTCTCAATAAAATGTTTGGAGGATTTGTTAATCTACACTAATCGCTAGTCCGTATTGCATGGATATTGTTATTCCTATAGTTGGCCATAAGGTCGAGGCCCGGGCCAAGGCACGGGATTTTGGCCTGGCCCAAGCATGACATGGCCTGATCGATGTCGGGCCCGTGCCGGCACGACATGGTTGTTGGGCTGTGCCTGGGCCTATGCCTCGGCACAGCACGAACTTCAGGGATGTGAAATAGACTTTTCAACCATATGTAAGATATGTATAGGCCTGACAAATCTTGGTCTGGGTTTGACCAGGCTTAGGCCGTGCCGTGCCGAGCGGCCCATATGGCTAACTATAGTTATTCCTATTCTTTTCCATAATTTTGTGAAAAAGTTTCGAAATCGATGAAATGTTGGTGCCCACTGAAATTACCAAAATTTCGGCCTTTTCGGAAAGTATAAACCCTGTTGTGACTCCAAAATCCTTTGATTCATCGGCTCTATCAATTTGTTTTTTTTTTCAGTTTCATGATTAGAACCGGAATTACATGGCCTGGTCGCAACCAAACATATAAAACAGGGTACAACAAGGCATGGAGCAATATACAGATAATCTCAGTTAAAAAAGAATGGAACAACATGCAGAGAGCATCCAAAACTGAAGATGGACTGAGCTCATCGCCGGCCGTCGATCAGCATGGAAAACCACCGTATCCGCCGCCGCCGTGGCACCGTCCTCCGCCGCTCGCGCCGACGACGTCGACGCGCAACATCTCGGCGAGGTCGCACGTCTCGTACAGCATCATCATCTCATCCACCCACGGCGCCACCGGCGGCGGCACGGCTTCCCGCTTCACCACCGTCGCGCTCGCGCCGCCGGCTCCCCTCCACCCGTCTGCACGGCACGGCCGCGGCCTCTGTGGCGGCGCCGCCGGCACGGCTGCGTCGTTGCCGGTGAGGCGCTGCACGAGCGACTTGAAGCCCGCGGCGTCGGAGGTGACGAACTGCGTCTCGATGAAGGTCACCTTCACGCCGCCGCCGCCGCCGCCATTGCCGTTGCAACCCCTCTCCATGGAACCAAATCCGATCAATCGATCGGCCGACGAGATCAGTTCGATCGATCGCTTGCTTAATTTACGTCTCTTCTCGATTCGATCAGCTAAAGCTAAGCTCAACGCAAGGTTGTTTCGTGACGAAAGCTTTCCTGTGCAGGGGGGATTTATATACGACGCTGGTGGTTGGGGTCAAGGCGGCAAGAAACCAACGACGACTATTCCAAATGCGACAAGAGGAGACACACGCTGTTCCAATGACATGTGGGGCCCACGGCTCGAGGTTCGAGGTGATGAGTGGAAGTGACAAGTGGAGGAGGTGGTTTGACTGGTCAGCGAGGGGAGGAAGGCAACGGTCAGCTTTTGGGAACGGTCAAGGAGGGCTGGGCTTTCTTCTCCTCGTGACAAAAATAGGTTGTGGCTGGCTCGCTGCCTCCTCTATCCTTTTCCGGTTTTCCCTGTCTGTGTTCTTGCGACTTCACTGTGATGGTAGACGTACGAACGCACAACATCTCTACACCCGCAATACCACACTTACACACATATGAATATGATCGGCCCGTAACACATGCTTGAAAAGACGGAAAATCAACGGTATATACCTAATATCGCCAAATTTATTTTAAGATCTCACTTATATATACGTAATATTTATGGATACCAGAATTTAAACCCTGATGAGTGGAGTCATGCTCCACCACCACACTGTTGATGCTTTTCTCAAAGAGGGCAGCTACACAACGGGATACCGTTGCAACGGGATATTTTAAGTGACTTTCTCTTTTCCTTTCTTCTGTCCACGTGTACTCCCCTAGTACCTGGTACTTGATACCTGGTACCTTAGGTATCGGTTGGTACCTGGTACCTTTGATACCGACTAGGTATCGACCGATACCTGATGCCCGATACCCAAGGTATCGGGTGGTACCTAGGTATCAGACCTTGGTACTAAGGTATCAAGCCTGATACTTGTGGGGTATCAGAGGGTAGCGTCAAAAAAGAGGAGACGTGGGGGAGGGAGGGCCACAACGGCGAAGGATGGCGTCGAGGAGGCACGGCGAGGTGAGGGACATATGCTCCCCTGGTACCTGGTACCTGATACCTTTGGTACCGACTAGGTATCGACCGATACCTGATACCCGGTACCTAAGATACCAGGTGGTACCTAGGTATCAGACCTTGGGACCAAGGTATCAAGCCTAATACTTGTGGGGTATCAGAGGGTATCATCAAAAAGAGGAGAAGACGTGGGGGAGGGATGGCGTCGAGGAGGCACGGCCATGGAGGATGTTGCCGCAACCGTACCCCGTTCCGGCTCCACTGCGCCTCGCTCCCACTCTCCCTCTCGCTCACCGCGCCCGCCGCCGAGCTCCTCACCGTCGCCACCTCCCCCGCGGCGGTGGCCGCCAGCTCTGGCGAGCGGTGGGCGACGACGATGGGGAGGGCTGCAGTGCCGCCTGATTTGGGGGAGGAGAGTGAGGTAGGAGGAGGTGACGGGGAGGGCTACAGTGCCGTGTGATTTGGGGGAGGAGAGTGAGGTATGAGGAGGGGATCCGGATGATTTGGAGGGAGAGGAGTAGTAGAGGAGATCCCGTCTCCACGGGATGCCGTGGTGTAGGTTTTCTGTTTCTCAAAAATAAATTGGTGTATGTTCCATGCTGGAAGAAAATGGTACTCCCTATAGTTTCATAATAATTATCGCTTTAAATAAAAAAACTTTACTATTATTTTTTATTATGAGATATATAAAGAATATTTATATTTTAAGATTAATCTATACATGTAATGTAACTGCTATTTTTGTAAAGCAAATATTTTTAAACATAGTCAAAGTTCTAAAAAGTTTAACCTCAATTATGTGTAAAACGATAATTATTATGGACGGGATCGAATAGTATGTTTGTCACTTATATTAGCTATGGACCACGGAGTATAAACCCAAAATATTTAGTTATAAAGACCGTTTATTGAAAGTAATTTCAGGTCGACTTTTCACTACCTCCGGAGCCAAGGAATGAAAATAACAAATAAATCCCTTAAAATGACAATGGAACGTAAAATGTTTTTTAAATAAAAAATGTTTTAGATATAATGCATACATGAATCAAGCGAGTAGACTCGTGGTTATTTAACTAGTATGGCATGTGCGCGGTATGCAAGGGGCAGCACATGCGTTGTCTCGTTTAATTTGTTTGATCATGACTGCGTCCTCCCACGTATGCTTCACCAAAACTTGCGTTCAAATTACAAATTCCTTTCCAGTATTCATGATGAGAAAGACTAGTACTATATACTCCTACATATATAGCAATGCTGATTTTGTCAATGTAGCAGTCCATATATATATTCTCATCTTGGCACAAATTATTTGTAATTAATTTGAATATTGCCAAGCCTTTGTTGAAACGAATAGCCAGCTAGTAGCGTGCTACGTATGAGCGACACCAGCCAAGCAAATGACGAATTGAACCGGATCCGGAAATAATATTCAAACCATTTGGATCATGAATTCATGCACACACTCACACCAGTCAAACCTTAGCTGCATGTGCAGCTGCTGGTTCCCATGAATCCTCCTAATCTCTTCTCCCTTTTCAGAATTATTGGTACCAAAAGCACAGTCAAATGTAGTACGGATTTATTGACTTCTTTTTTATTATTTTCCCCAGTTGCAATCACTTGAAAGTGAGAGGTGTCAGTGACGGCATGTTCATGTTTCTAGCCTTGTGGCTACTTCGAAGAAGTGAAGAAAACTTGAAAAGGTCCTTTCTGTCTTTCTCGTGGTCAGGCTGTGGTTGTGCTGTGCATGAGTAGGAACTAGGAAGCCAGCATTTTTCAAGTTATCAGGTCATAGGGAAGGATTTCGATGTTTTTTAAGTTATCACCTACAAGGCTACAACCAAATTTTAGATTTTAAAACTTAATTTTGGAGTTAATTTTAATGTTTTCTTCATCATAGTTTATTTTCTGAAATTGATTTTTAAGTCGCTCATAGAAAAGTTTCACGCACAAATTATTTTATGACTAATAAGAGTTATGGCTTATAACCACATGTAGGAGAAACGATGGGGCTCGCTCCACAAAAGGATAACAGCAATCTTGAATTGCAGTGGATTTTAGAAAAAAAAATACTATAAGTTTCTGTTAGTGATATGCCCTAAAGACAATCATAGAGATGATTGTATCACATACTATGTTTACATATTTATCCGACATTGTTCCTTGAAATAGATAACTCATTATTGGTTAATGAATATGTGATTCTTTCATGATACTCTTTATGTTGTTTGTTACTATTTCTAAAGGATCCCTGATCAAATATCATATGTGGAACAAATATGTTTATATGATCAGCACATGTATTAATTGATGATCATGTCTCATGGATCATGGTATAGAGATACCAAATTAATAATGTGGACACATGTTGGTGAACATGTTGTTGGATAGACCCAACATGAGATACTGCAAGAGCCATATGTGTTGTGTCATCAGTGATCTCATTGAGTGTTGGTGTTGAATCCTTAAACCTGAGATTATCATGGTTCTCAACATGTGTAGTAGCTTACTTAGGGACTACTAAACATTACTCCGTAATTGGGTAGTTATAAAAATAGTTTTCGGGTATGCTATGAAACATGTAGTGGGATATGAATAATCAAGATGGGATTTGCCCCTCCTATGGAGAGATATCTCTGGGCCCCTCGATGTTGTAGATTATGGAAGTGCATGGCCATGCCAAAGGTGATTGAGGAGTCAATCACAAGTTATATAATCTATCAACAGGTTCGAGTGAATGATTGAGCTATTAGAGGATGGCACATATCTAGCCTTGAGCTTAATCGATATCATGAGGCAAAGGGGTTCATACAAGTATACACTAGAGGTTCAGCCGATATGATCTTTATGTATGCCCGGTGGGTCAATACGTTCTGCTAGGGGCCGCTGTTGACGCGTGGACCGAAAAGGAGTTTTCGGGTTACAGCCGAGTATATATGAACCTACAGGGTCGCACGCTTAATGGGCCGGAATAAGGGGATTGGATAGAGATCCAATATGAGCTTAATTCGGATAAGGATCCGAATAGGAGTCCTACGGGTCTTGGAGGCCCGAGTGATGGATCCTATATATTCGTGAGGGGTGTGACCGGCGGAGGTATTGCATCACGTGAGTAACCCTAGCCGTCACTTCCCTCCCCGAGCAAAACCCTAGCCGCGCGCGGGTGCTAGCACATCTGCGTGTGGCGTTCCGTCCCTGTACATGTGGATACCGGTAGAGGCGCCGCTGGTTTGCGGTGCTGATCGCCGTGGGAGTACGGCGAGGAGAACACACGAGGAGGAGAAGGTCGAGCCGGTGCGATCTACTACTTCCTCTACATCGACGCGCGCTACTTCGCGAGAGTTCCTTCGACTTCTCAGCGTCTTCTTCCACTGCACAGCGCGTCGAGTGGTAACGATCTATGATCTAATACTTGCATGGTTCCTGGTTTACGTGATAGAAAATTTTGATTTATGCTATCGTAGCCTACACGATCCCAATAGCTTCTATTAACTTGAATTCAGTAATATATTTACAATTTGCAATCTAACATCAATACAGAAAGATCCGAGCCACACTCTGATGAATGAAGATTCAGCACTATCATCATGCAAGTTGATGCAAGTTGGTGAGGTGCAAACTGGTTTCTGGATTATTCAAATCTTTTCCTCGGAGGATCAGTATTTTCGAGAGCCACGATGGCTCGAAAAGGATTGCATTTGGAAATGCTGAGGCATTCACAAGTCCAATCCTCTCATTTATGTGCCCCAAAATGCTGATGCAGCGGTGAGAGGAGAGGGGCAGGACAGTTCCCGGCCCTAGATGTTTGATCCAACCACAAACTTTTACTTCTACATCAAAAAACCAATCCTTGCTTCGAATGTATATAATTGTTTGTCCAAGTTCATAGAACTTAAGTTATTTGGGGACGGTGGTGTACTCTCCATCCCACTTCATCCCAAAATATAATAAATTCGTCCAAAAATGTAGCAACTTAATACTACAACTAGACACAACCTCATCTACATCTGGAATAATATGTTAGCTACTTCAGTTATATTTTGCCATATTTAATCTATATTCGTAATAATATGTTATCTAATTAGTAAC